CATAAATGGATTCCCAGCATTGTATGGTGACTCACAACCATAGCTACAGTTCCTGGAGATCCAGTTCTCTCTTCAGGCCTTCATGGTCACCAGGCACGCACATGGTGCATCTATGTACTTGCAGGCAAAACACCTAGACACATTACATAAAACCTGCATGGTGACACATCATGAAATCTCATCACTCAGGAGGGATAGGCAGAAGAATCCGAATTGTAAGGTCATCTTTGGCTACACAGTTAATTTTAGGCCAGCCTGGGCTAAGTGAGGCCTTGTTTCCAAAAAAAAAGGCATTGTTTTGCAGGTTTCTCTCCTCCATTGTCCCTTACAGCACTGGCAGCTTCCTTAGGGTACATCTGGACTTTCCTATTGAGAAACAGAATGGACTCCACCTAGGTCTGCCCCACCCCAGAGCAGCACAGACCGTTAAACTGATTTTGAGCAAAGAGTCTCTCGTTAATTATGCCATGTTTTAATTCAGTTAAATGTGTTAAGTGTGGGAAAACCTAGCAGTTGCTATCCTGCAGGTTGAGAGTTTTGTTTTTACACCTTAGAGTTCATATTAAATATTTCCAGAATGTAACGTTGTCTTGGCGACATGAAGAAGAGATGTAATTAATTTTGGTTATATAGGGCGTTGATCCCACTAGGAGGGTTCTGTGCTTGGCCTTGTGTTTTCTTTTTTTTTCTTTGCAAATAGGTCTTTTGAACACAGATAACTGGAGCACACAGAGCAGGGCAGGAGCCTGGGGGAGGCTGTGCTTCTCTCTGAGAGTCACTCAGAGTAGACTACAGCACAGTAGGGAAAGTGTCTCTAAGCTGCTGCTCTGAAATCCAAAGGGCTCTCATAATTCCTTTTCATGTTTAGCACCGTGTCTTCACTGCAGTTCTCAAGCTGAGAGATGCTACCCCTTTGGGGCTCACCTACCAGATATCCTGCATATCATATGTTTATGTTATAATTTATAACTAGCAAAGTTACAGTTATGAAATAGGAAAGAGAATAGTTTTATGGTTGGGGTCAGCACAGCATGAGGAACTGTATTACAGGAACTCCGCGTCAGGAAGGTTGAGAACCGCTGAGCTGGAGTAATGTGGAGGGAATTGAGAGCAGAGGCTTTTGTGGCATCTGGAAATGACACAAGCCTGAATCAGGCCATGATCCCTGAAAGAGGCCCACCAATCAGAAACCAGCACTGCAGGCCTGGCTTTTCATTTCCATTTGATTCTGTGCAAAGTTTCATAAAGAAAAGCAGGCAGGAGGTAAGGGGACAACAAAGAGAAGGAAAGAGGGAAGGGAGTGGGAGAAAGAGAAGGGCTGAGGTGAGAAAGGAGGGATGCTGTCACAGACAAACCAGGAGGAAAGGTTCTTTGTGGATCTTCTAAAGCATGACCTTGGTGCCATCCTTTCACATCCAAAGATCTGAAGATCCTGGGAGCTGGGAGGACCAAAAGGATTACCAGCAGAGGGGAGGACTCCCAGCAGAGCAGACTGTAGGTGGTTGGTTGGTAGTACTACTGGCTCCTCCCACAGGCTGGTGGCCTGTTTGGCTTATCCATCAGCCCTGATCCCCTTCCTTGGTAGGCAGGAGGCCTGACTTTTGTTTCGCCAACTACAAATGAATGTTAGATGTCAGTTAGAACCCGGATGTTTCATGTGACGCTGTCAGGAGCTCACAGATTGTCCCACTCACTGGTCTCAGGTGAGACCTCCCTACCAAGAGTATTCACCGCTGCACTGCCCCACTGAGACCAGAGGGTGAGGCTGGACTCCCACACTCTAGGCTGAAGGGGCGCTCCTCTCTCTGCTGAGGCCTCTGAAGTCTACCCACCACCAGTGTCTGAGGGGTGCAGATGCCTCGGCGGAGCCAGGTTTTGGCTGTTCTCGGCACCCTCCCACTTGCCCTTGGCACTGGCCCCAGGGGGTGGGCCGTGGGGGTGGCGCTCTATGGCAACTCTGCTCTTCAGCGGAGAAGAGCTGGGAGTCTTCTGCCCCTGTTCTGTGCTTGTCTGTTCTGTGGGCAGAGTTCTGGGAACAGGCTCAATCCGAACTGTAACCAGCTTGCTTCGGGCCTTCAGGCCTCGTAGGGCTGGGGTTTTCCCTGCCTAGGGAATTCACTCCTCTGTTTCAGTCATTTGAATTTACTTTCTAGAAACCTTTAGAAATACATTTCCAGACCAGTGGTGAAGGTGCTCACCACAGAGCCTGACAGCATGAGTTCCATCCATTATGGAAGGAGAAGACTATTTGCAAGGTTGTCTTCTTCTGGCCTCACCACCGCCACCACCGCCAACCCTGCCAACCCCCAAAAACAGAAGGGAGTAAGAGGGGAGCTGGAAAATTAGGTCAGCAGTTAAAAGCCCTTGCTGCTCTTAGAAGGGAAGCAGAGTTGGTTTTCCAGCACCCACATACTGGCTCCTCATCATCTATAACCCCCGTTCTGTGGGACACAATGCCATCTTTTGACCTCTGTGGGTACCAGGCATGAACACAGTACAAATACACATATACAGACAAACATACACATAAAAAAGTCTAAGAAGAAAGATTTTAAAAGATGTTTAAGCCGTGCTCCTTCCAGAAAGTTCTTTCTTGAGGCTCAAAGGCCCTATGTGCTGTTGCCAGCACAGCTACCTAACCCTCACTAGAGAGGACACCTTTCCACAAAATGAAGGCCCTGAGCCTTGTATTCTCCAGAGAGAACTGTTTAGGTTTCCTTAACCTTAACCGTTATCACAGACTTATTACTCTCCAACCTTTCATTATCTTACTCCATTTTTTTCCCCCTTTGAACCTTCTCCAGAACATGTCTTTTAAGTTAGGGAGACCATAACTTAATTAGATCTCTCATTTCCAGACGATTCTCGTGGCTCCTCCAAAGGAATAAATTAAATTGCAGTCAGATATATTTCACTGGGAGAAGGGTGCAAGACAAAGAAATTGGATGCTCTGTATAAATAGCACATTGTCTGGGCTGAAAATGAGTTTTCCTCATTCCAGTTGTTTTTGGAACAATGGGTCCCTCGGGGGGCATTTAGTCCTTTAGAGTTTCTGGCCTCCAACTCCCCATGACTGGTGGGCTTTTGTGTATATGTGTGGCTTCTCTTCCTAAAGGGAACCATGGGTCTCGGCCTGGGGAGCAGCGAGCAGCGTCCAAAGGGGTGGTAATGAGGGTGAGAATATCCCCTGCTTCTAGCTGTTTGGGACCAGCTTTCTGTCCCAGGCTTCTGCCCAGTTTCTCTGGGGCTTCATCTTAGTGAGTAGGTTTCTCTTTTCGTGGTGATGTTCCAGGTAGCTGATCATGGGTGGGGGTGGGGAGGAGTCAAGGCAGGCCTGACTGAGCTCTCAGCTGGTGACAGAGCCACAGGCCCTTTTCAGTGTGGCGCCTCAGCCAAGGTGCTTTGAACGGATTTCCTTGCTCTCTCTACTGGAGTTTTTCTTCGTAGACTGGAGACACTGAGCTCACTAATGATGTCTGAGGTCCCTCCCAGCCTGACCCTGAGACTCACCATGGCTCTGACAGAGGGGCCCAATGGAAGGGTTATGAGAGGAAGAAAGACCCAGGTTCCACAGGCGAACAGGAAAAGGATACTTGGAAAGCGTGACAGTTCGTTTCAATTCCTTCCCTTCCCTTCTCCCGGAGGATCCCCAAGTCAGTGTAACCGAAAAAGGCACAAAAATGATCACTTTTTTTGTCATCATCATCAATGATGACCTGCTGTAAATGATCATTTACTGGCCACCTGTGTCAGTGTCAGGCACTGGCCAAGGCTCCGTGTACTATTCGTCTTTGCATTCCGTGACAGAGCAGAGGTCCTCGGTGTCTTCCACGACCGCGGCCTCCACCCCTCCCCACAGGAGTAACCACCCTGCAGTTCACACTGCTTCTTTCTCGGTGCTGTCCTTAGACCTCTGTGTGTTGTCAAGGCTCCCAGGCTTTCCTCCATTACTGTTACCAGTTCCTGCTACCACTAATTAAGTCAAGGTCTCACCTTGTAGCCCTGGCTAGCCCAGAATTCACTATGTAGACCAGGCTGACCTCTGCTTCCCCCAATGCTGGAACAAAGATGTGTGTCACCATACCCAGCTCCCTCCATTGTTCTTGCCTGAAGTGTAACCGGATAGTTAACTTAGAGCTCCTGTCTTCCTGACTGCTTGACTGAATCCATGGGTCAGGGACCGTGTGAGTCTCCTTCTGAGCATCCAGAACAGTGCGGATGAAACAGGAGAGAGTGAGTAGTAGAGACTTGCAAGGACATGTGCATAACTGCATGGAAACATGGATTCGAACCCAGGACCCTGTGGTCCTGGCAGACCTGGCCTTGCGGTGCTCCTTGCAAGCTTGTGTGCAAGGCCTCACATGCTGTGAGCCTCCCTTAGATACTGGCCCACGATCAGGCGGGCTTTGAGCAGTTTCTCCAGAAGGACTTGATCATAGTACCTCCTGGCTGCATTCTCTCCAACATCATTGGTCCCCAAAGATGTCTGTGAAATAACTGGAGATGATGGATCCACCTGAGTGGCTGGAGGAAGTGAGTTTACCCGAGCGCCCTTGTCCGTATTTAGCCCCACGTCTTCGTGTTCGTCAGCCCTGTCTCCTCACCCATTTCATCAAAGGTTGTAAGAATCTGCTCTGTAGGAGATCTAGGTCATTGGAAACAAGTGGGTGAAAATTGAGGAAGAAACACAAAGACATGACAACTTTTAGGGAAGTGACAGTAAAACCCTAATGTGGAAACAACTGAAAATAGACTATATGGGATGTTGGGCTGCATGCAAATCCTATGCTAATTACATGGAAATTAATGATGACTTCTAACTTCCATCTGCCTTCCTGTGACCCCTTGGGGAGCCCCTTGCTGCAGGCATCTTTCCTATGCCACATAGCAGCACAGGGAATGCAAACTCTGATGTCGCCCCCTGCCCACTCCACCCCTGTAAGAAAAGCTGAGGGGAAGGCTAAAAATACTAACAATAGATGTTTGATTTCTTTTTGCAGACAAAAAGCTCTGGCATCCACAGGAGGAAGAAGTGTTCAAGCAGCATGTGACTGGTTGGTATGAAATAAATAAATTGAGAAGATAGCATGTAATTATCCCTGAGTGTCTATGATGAGTACGGGAGTGCAGTCTTTTTCTAATGGACCCTTCCAGGAGGGGATGAGACAAATGTGACAGGCCCATTTATCAAGCTGGCTGCCTCCTCTGCCCGGGCACTGGGGTATGTGTATCTCCTTGGATCTGTTTAAAGGCTTTCTAAATCTTCCCAGATAGAGGCTCCCATTATCTGAGCCCTGCCAGTCACCTCAAGATTCACCGTGTGGGATGCTGGACTGGCCAATTTAGAAATGTCCTACTCATTTATCGAGAAGCCCACAGACCAACTTCCTGGAGCTTCCTTTTTACTTTGGAGGCCCAAGAGCTCCTCCAGCACAGACTGAGCTGAAGGGCCGGGGGTGTGCAAGGAAACTACTCTGTGGGGAATGGATTTGGAGTTAACCCAAGGATGCTTCCTGGAGAGCAGCTTTGGGTTTTTTTAGGGAGTTGTGGGATGAAGAGGCAATACCACTCTCTGGAGAACAGAAGCCTCTCCATCTGAGAGTTGGTTGGGAGTGTAAGCTTCAAAGGATGGATATTTTTTCTCTTTTTTTTTTTTTTTTTTTTTTTTTTTACAGCACAAATGGAAGCCCTTCTCCGTGTGGTCCTGGGGTGGGAAGCATGGAGAGGGATGGGCCTGCCTCTTCTCTTCCTCCTTGTCCATTGCTCTCCACCGAGGCTCTCTTGATTCTCTTCCCTCCCTCTCACAGGTTGTTCTCTCATGTTGGTGACCCCTTCCTGGATGACCCCCTGCCTCGGGAGTATGTCCTCTACCTCCGCCCGACCGGTCCATTAGCCCAGAAGCTCTCAGACTTCTGGCAGCAGTCCAAGCAGATCTGTGGGAAGAACAAGGCCCACAACATCTTCCCCCACATCACCCTCTGCCAGTTCTTTATGGTAAGCATCTTCGCATTCCTCTACTTCCTCCCCCTCTCCCCCCCCCCCCCCCCAGAATCCCAGACAATCCCTGGGGACCTGGACGGCTCTCAGCACCAAGAGGACCTCCCAGAGGTCAGCGTGGTCCACAGTGAGGGCCTCTCCACAGTTTCCCTCTCCGGGCATCTGCACCAAACATCTGGATTTGGTGTATCAGGACAGTCACGTGCTTATTCTACAGTCGAAAGAATAAGCCAGACCCTTCATGGATGGCAGTCTGGCCTGGCACCCGAACAGTAACTGGCATGAACGCCAGAGACCTGCCAGATGTCATTTCTTAGAAACCATCCCTCCACCTAGTAGCTTAGCCTGAAACTCAGTAAGGAGTCTGGGCTGGCTGGCCAGTCTTGGCTCCTTGGTTCTGGGATTACAAGCCCGTGCTACCACACCCAGATTTTTTTATGTGGTTCTGGACATTGAACTCACATCCTCATGCTTGGCATGGCATGTACTTATATATTCCATATGAGGTTTTTTTTTCCTTTAGTTTTATTTTTTGAGACAGAGTCTCATGTAGCCCAGGCCAGCATCAAGCTTGCTACATCACCAAGGATGACCTGAAACTCCTGATCTTTGAATTCGTGATCCTCCTGCCTCAGCATCCCAAGTGCTGTGATTTCAGGCATGTGCCACCATGTCTGGCCAACTCTCAGGGCAGGGAGAGGAAGGGACAGAGAGAGTGGGGAGCAAGAGCGGTGGCTTAGAGACAGGAAAAGCCCCTCCACTTACATGAATGTCACCATGAGGTCTCACTAGTGTTCTAGAGACTGACAGATAACTTTCTCCTGCTACCGTTCCTCAGCCACACCCTAGCTGTCTGTGGAAAAGCTTGTATAGAGGCTAAGTCAATCCTCCATACTCGTATCTGTTCTACTCCCCACAGTGAGGGAGATGACTTACCCCCATGTGTTCATCACAGAAACAAACAGAAAAAAACCGGGATGGTATCCTTTTAAAACCGTTTTCAAAAAGACATTTTTGCTTTGTTTCTTCCTGGACATGTTCTCACTTCCCCTGTGTCTCAGGTAAATAACGTGTTCCTGACACCTTGTCTCTAGCAACTCACTCTGAAAATTAAATCGATTATCACTTCCTCCTAGTCATCCCAGGATCTTGCAGAAAAGCATTCAGAGGTTTAGACACACTCATTCTTCCTCCCCAGCCCCGCTAAGAGGGTAGGTGGATGACGTCACCACTCCCCAGCCTTGTTCTTTCTTTTTCCCAAGGATCATGGGAGTGGAGGTGAAGGCAAGAGTTGTCCAAGGAGCAGCTGAAAAGACTGCTGGAGGCTATGTTCTTCTTTCTTTGTTTGTTTGTTCTGCCTCCCCACTCCTCCCCTTCCTTTCTCCTCCTCCTTCAAATCTCAGGTGTCTTCCTCTCTCTCTCTCTCTACCTCATTCCCTGGAAACAGCTGAACCAGAAGGAACCTTGCTTCTTTTGGCCAGGCTGGCTGGCTAGCACAGTAGTATTAGGTCCCAGCTACCTCAGCCTTCCTGTGTTGGGCTTACAAGCACCTCCAGCCATGCCTGGCTTTTATGTGGGTGCTGGGCATGTAAACACGGGTCCCTCATGCTGGCAGAACAAGCACTCCTTCACACTGAGTCATCCCCATAGCCTGCCTGTTTTGCAGGGGCAGGGGCCAGGGTCTGGTATATCTATCCCAGCCTAACCTAGAACTCAGGATCGCTGAGGATGACCTTGAACTATTGGCCTTCCTGCCTTCACTTTCTCCGTGCTGGGTTTTCGGACGTGACCTCGCCACTGCTGATTTATTCTCCTCACCCAGTTTTATGTGGCGCTGGAGATGGAGTTCTCAGCTTCCTGCATACTAGGCCAGCACTCTGCCAACCAAGCTACATCCTCTGTTCCACCCTCTGGATTATTTTCACATTTTGTTTCATGTTTGTTGGTGTATGTTTGCACACTGCTTTCATGCCTGGTACACACAGAGGCCAGAGAAGCTTGTTGAGTCCCCTGGAACTATAGTTACAGACCGTTGTTAACCGTCATGTGGGTGCCAAGAACCAAGCATGGGTCCTCTGCAAGAACAGCAAGTGTTCTTAAACTCTGAGCCATTTCCCCAGCCCCAAGAACTTTCTATCTAATTGATAGATCATGGCGTCCAGTGTGACTATTTGATTTATGTGTCCATTAAAGGATGTTGATTGAGCTAATTCGTATATACACTACCTAGCTTCATTTTTTATTTGTGGTGAGAACTTGACCTTCCGTCTTGTTTTACTCTGGGGCTGTGGGTTGAGTATGAGGCCTCTGGCATACCGAGAAAGGGCTCTAACACTGCACCCCATTCCCAAACCTAGAACCTACCTACCCTTTCAGCAGTTTTCAAGTATACTTGACATTGTTTCTACCCCTGTCATTGCCAGGCTAGCTTGTATTTACGCTGAAATTGTTTCCTTTAACCAATATCTCAACCCTAACCCTGGCTTTTGCTTAACCAATTGGATGGCATTCTGGCAAGGTTCCCAGAAACTACAGCAGAGAAAGGGGAGCGGAAAGAGATGTCATGATGCCTTCCCTAGTTTCATTTGCCCGCTGGATAATCGGTGTCTGGATAATTGAGAGCCCAAAGCTCTTCTCCCCTTCGTGGACAGGAGGAGTGCTTGTTAAGTAATCACATTATCAGCCTTGGCTCCCTAGGGACAGACGGACTACTCGGTGCTGAGGGGCAGCAGGCTCCCCCCACCCCCCACCTCCCTTTCCTGGGCTGTAATGAAGCCTGCTTGTCTTTCCATCCCCAGTGTGAGGACAGCAAGGTGGACGCACTGGGAGAAGCCCTACAGACGACTGTCAGTCGCTGGAAATGCAAGTTCTCAGGCCCGCTGCCCCTGGAGCTCTACACGTCCTCCAACTTCATTGGGCTCTTTGTCAAGGAAGACAGCGCAGAGGTCCTCAAGAAGTTTGCGGCTGATTTCGCTGCGGAGGCTGCGTCTAAAACTGGTAAACACCTCTGACTTTCAGCCCAGGGCTGGATCCTAAGATCATAGGTTGAGAGGACAAGGGTGGGAAATGGTTCTGTGACAGTCAACCTGCAGAGAGGGGAGGATTTATTTGGACTCGCACTTCCACAGTTCTCAGCCAGTGGTGCCGGGCCCACCACGGCTTGTAGGCCTGTGGTGAGTCAGGACAGCATGGCGGGAATGCAGAGAAGAACAAGCCTGCTCACCTCCGGGAGGCCAGGAAGCAGGAAGGAGCAAGCACAGGGGGAAGGGTCCCCTTCAAAGGCACATCCCAAATAACAGAAGTTCTTCCCATTAGCCTCATGAAACACCCCCTCCTCCCTGGCCGGTGGCCAAGCCTTCCTCAACACATGGAGTATGGCTTTTAGACCAGATGGTAACCTCTGCAGAGGAGAGGACCGGCGACAGAAGACGGGGGGTCGTGTGGAAATGAGCACCAAGGCAAAGAACACCCCATGCCCCTTGTAAAAAAAAAAAAAAAAAAAAAAAAAAAAAAAAAAAAAACGTTGCACTTCCTTATGATCTGCTAACATATCAGACAGCTTGCCGGGACTTCTTCCCTGACTCCCAGGGACTCCACTGTTCACGCTGAACTATAAATGTAGCCCTTTGTAGTCTCCATCTCCTCCAGTCCAGATCCAAGAGAGCGTCCTTTCATCCTCGAGGCTCCCTACCCGTGCATGCTTTTATCTGCATCTGGCCATCCCTGGCACAGCACAGGGCATAGTAGAAGTGGAACCACTCCTTAGCAAGTCATGAAAATAGTCACCAAGTTGAAGAGTGTTGGCTCCGTGGGTTATTTTATTGTACAGTTTATTTTGAGGTCTCATGTAGCCCAGGCTGACCTCAAAGGTGATACGTAGCTAAGGCTGGGTCATGGACTTCTCGTCTTTCCAGTGTTTGGCCTCCAGGTGCTGGGTTCTAGCTCTGTGCCACCCCATCTGGCTTTAGCTGGTCTGGGGATAGAATCCAGGGTTTTATCATGCTCCGTCAGGGTAGCTGAGCTAAGTCTCCAGCCCCTGAATCCAAATGCTCAGTGAAAAGCCGGGGGACACCCACAGCTCCCCAGCCATATATTAAGGGGTGGCCAGAGGCTGGAAGACCTGATCAGAGCCACACAACCTACTCCTTTGTCTCCTAGCTTTTAGCTGTAGCTAACAGGGTGTCTGTCTTCACTGATGCTTCCATTGCTGTGTGTGGCATTTCTTCAGGGCCACATAGAGCTTAGGCCCTAGGAAGAATGTGATCAGAATCCACTCCAGGACCACAGGGCCTGTCAGTTCTCAAAAGGAGTGTGCATCCGGAAGAGACTCCCTGTGGTTTGGGGGTAGTCTTCTCAGCTTCCACCCCCTTCCAGGAGCTGCCTTCTCCCAGGGACCAGCCCTAGGCTTACTAGGTCAACAGATATATTAAACATTGCAGAGAAAATAACGAAGAGAAAATCACTCCTCCTCATATCCGTTGCCCTTAAGGAAGTTTTTTGTGTTTTTTGTTTGTTATGCTTTTGTTTGTTTTTCCCACACTAGCTATTGTCAGCCCACCAAATCATTACAAGAACCATAAAACAAACAAACAAACACCCATATCCTTTACAAATCAGAAAACTAGGACTGTGGCTGATTCTTAAGGCGCAGACAGAGATGAGAGCTGGTCAAGGAACGTTGTTTTCCATGTGAGAATGGGAGACTGCCAGCCCCTCTCCAAGAATCTACTGTCACTAAGAACCTGGTGGTTTCATGGCTCTGTCCCTGCGGTGCCCCCTGGTGGTAATCTGCAGAACTGCATGACCCTGATTTGTGGAAAGTGGGTCATTATGACTTTGCCCTAGAACTCATGCCTGTGTAGCCTAGAATTACTGGTTCACCCAGATTCCTTTGGCAAGTATATTTAGTGTGGCTCTTCTTTCTGGGTGGCTCTAGAAGATTTGCCCATGTGCATTCATTTCATCAGCAAGTACTGATGACCCAGAGTGCGGATACTAGAACGAGACACAAACACCCTGGAGTATGATGGGAAAAGGACTAATGCCCCAAACCGGCCTCCTTTCTCTCTGGCCTGATAGTTCTCTGAGACCTGATGGGGTCCCTTAATTTCTTCCAGTTCTCTAATTTCTTCGTTCTCTCCTGGGATGTAACGTACAAAGGGGACATAAAATTTACCCCTCATGTTGGTAGGTTTGCTCTGCTTTATTTTTAGTGTTTTAGAATAGTGTTGTGCATACTTCAAATGAGTGGACCCCAACCCAGAGCAGCGTCACCCTGGAGGGACCGCAGTCATCCAGGGGCTAGAGGCCGCTAAACCTTCCATAATAGCCAAGACAGGTGCCCACAAGTAACTGTCCATATTCGTGTTGTTGAGAGAGCCTACTTTATACTGTGAGTGTCTCCGCCAGCTCCCTCATTTTTTTCCACCACACCCCCAGAATCCATGAAATCCCCTCCCAGATAAACAGAGCATAGCTCCAGCAGTCACACAGTTACAGACCCCGCTTTGTATTTCCACATCGTGGTGGTCATCTTGCTTGGTTCCCTGGTTTTCTTCATCTGAATGGTGGGGCTGGTGATGAGCCCCTGGTCTTGACAGGAGGAGTCAGCCAACACGATTAACCCAAAGCCCATCCACAGCTCCTGTTGAACAGCCATCTGTCGCATGGCTTTTTGTCTCCGGAACAGCCTTTCCCAGGGACTTGCTTCTTTGTTCTTTGGGGGAACAGGCCACCTTTGTGGGCCTTTCTTCTGTCTCCTCCATTGCCGTGATTTCTTCATTCGGATCCCTTTTTTTTTTTTCCAGAAGTGCACGTGGAGCCTCATAAGAAACAGCTGCACGTGACCCTGGCATACCACTTCCAAGCCAGCCACCTGCCCACGCTAGAGAAGCTCGCCCAGAACATCGATGTGAAGCTGGGGTGCGATTGGGTGGCCACCATATTCTCTCGGGATATCCGGTTCGCTAACCATGAGGTACTGTCTCCCTGCAGCCCTGAATCCTCCCAGGCACAGGGATGCCGTGATAATGAGGAGCGCTTGCTGCTTTCAGTGCAGGGGGATAGAGACCAAAATAAAGTGATGGAGTGGTGCAGGATGATGGGGACCCGTGGGGAGTGAGGGATCGCTTGGCCAGCACTCCAGATTTCACTGCTGACTCTCTGAGAGGCTTAGCATGCTCTGTCTGTCCTGCCATCCTTATGGAGGGGCATAGGAATAAAATGGAGGAGAGACAGAGAATGTATTGACGAGAAGTTAATAATTATACTGGTATAAATTTTTGATGTTGGGCAAGGCATTATCCTGACCCTAGGCGAGTTGATCACACAAATTCAAAAACAAACCCACACCTCAGACCCACAAAGGCAGAAATCACGGATAACTGACAACGTGCCGTTGTCTAGAGCACGTGAGGTACCATGCTGACCTGCGGAGTGTTCAAAATTCTGTGCTCAAGGAGTTTTAAAGGCCAGCAAGGTGACTCAGCGGGTGACGGCACTTCCTGTCAAGCCTGACAATCTGAGTTCAATTCCTGGAACCGACGTGTCAGAAGGAGGGAACTGAGTCCCACAGGTTGTCTTCCGACCTCCCTTTGCGTGTGTGTGTACGCACATACACACAGAATACGTTTATAAGAAAGGAGCTTTGAGTCCAGCAAGGGAGAGAAGACAGACAAATGTAAAAAGGGAGAGGTTGTGAATACCACAGTGGAAGGTAAGAGTGAGGATGAATGGATCCTGCTGTAGACAAATGGGCATGCATTTGGCATCCTTCTTTGGAGGCCTTTCGATCAGCAAAGGCAGGTCATGTATCTAAGGAAGGACCTGCCGTGTGTGCTGTTTCCCTTTCCATCGTGGTTTCAGTTTAGCAGAAGCTATCAGCTCACAAGTAGGGCGAGGGAGATGGCCCTACTAGTAGGAGCACTTCCTGTGCAAACATGAAGACCTGAGTTCAGATCCCCAACATGCACACAGAAGCTGCACGTGGCCCATGTGCGTGAATCCTAAGAGCTAGCGTAGGTGAAATGGTGAGCTTGGGGATCGGTGAGAGAGACAAGGGAATAAAGTGGAGAGCCTTTTTCTCTGGACTCCACATGTGCACACACGGGCACAGACACATGGAGCACGCACCTGTGCGCACTCTCATACGTGTAGCACATACACAGTGCACACACAAATAGATAACTTTTATTACAGCGTAGTATTAGAACGTCTATATTTTATTATCGGTTTTGCTCTCAACCTATACATTAAATTAGACCATAGCTATAAATAGAAAATATATATATTAGTGTATATATATATATAATATATATATAATATATATAATATAAAACTATAAAATATATATAGTAATTACACTTACTTATATATGTAAGAGTGTGTTTCGCACTATCTGCAATTTCAGGCCTACCCTCTGGGTTTTGGAATGAACCCCATGGTTAGTGGAGAACTGTTGTAGCTAGATGAAAAACTGTCTTCCAAAAACTTATTAAGCAATAGTTGCATGTTTCCCAATTTTTCAATAACAATTAAAAAGTTTTTTTGTTAGTTATTAGCATACATGACCTTTTGATAATACTTTTATACTTTCTTTATTATTATTATTATTATTTATTTTCATTTCATCTGTTTTAATTGCATATGTGTTCGATTCCCTAGAACAGGAGTTACACACAGTTGTGAGCTGCCATGTGTGTGCTGGGAATTGAACCCGGGTCCTCTGTTAGAGCAGCCAATGCTCTTAACTGCTCTTAACTCTTTCCAACCCACCTCTTATACTTTCTTAGTTAAAAATAAACAAATCAATAAAAACTGAAATCTGTCTGTGCCCAGGCAACCTGTATGTCAGTGTTAAGAGCCAGTCTGAACCAAAGCTTCAAGGTGAGGTGCAGGAGTGATGAGGCCAGGCTTTGCCTGACTTTCCTGATGAGAACATCCTTCAGTCATGGTGATTTCTCCTGAGACAGATTGAGCAGACCAAGTTCGATGTTAAGAATTATGGCATCTTCTGCCATCACCTAGGATGAACCCTTAGGATACTAGAGAGAGGTGTGGCTGGACAGACTCTTCCCAGGACAAAGGCAGAATAAAAGGTCAGGGTTTGGTTGTACGAGGCTTCGGAAGACACCTTTGTAAGAGAAGGTGGCTGTGGAATTTTTCAAGGCTTGTCTTCGAGTGAACCCCGCCCTCCAGCTAACTCCGGGGAACTGCTTTCCTGCGTGACCCACATTCCGCTCAGTCTGCGAAGGAGGAAAGAGCCTGCAAATGCCCACATGAGTTATTTTCTAAAAATAACTTGTCCCCCTTTGTCTCTTATTTGTGAAAGCTCAATTATTACGGGTCTCTTCTGATAAGGCACCCGCTTTGCCTCTAGCTTCGGTCTGGGGACTTTTGGTCTTCGGGGAGTCTCTTGACTATGTCCCTTCCTCCTTCTTCATTCCCTCCCCAGGAGGGAGGCTTGAGAGAGTATTCTAACTAGGGGACTGACATCCAGAGGAGTCTGACTGAGGCAAGGGCACAGAGCAAGGCCTAGGGATGCTTAGGGAAACCGCACAGTGGTGTTTATCCCTCGGCAATTCCAGGTTTTCAGATGCAGACTCACGGCTGTTTGTAGCTTACAAGGGCCCTGTGTTAATGATGGCACTGAGCTGCCGCACTAGGAATGCCCCCACAGAAACATAGGACAAAGTTCAACAAAAACTAGATGTTTCGGAGCCTTGAGCCCGTGCTTCAGCACTGGCTTCCGCATTGTAACAATAGTTAGATTCATGCCGACAATTTTTGTAGTTCACAAGCTGGGGATGTAGCTCCGCTTGGAGAGTGCTTGCCTGGATTACATGAATCCCTGGAGCACATAAAAGGGGATAGGGTGGTACCTACACATGTGTAATCCCACACGCAGAAGGATTAGAAATTCAAGGTCATCCTCAGCTACACAGTGAGTTCAAGGCCAACCTGGGCTACATTGAGTCCTTGACTAAGACAAAGCAAATAACAAAAAGCCCAACCAACCAACTGAAAAGCCAAAGGAACAAACAAAAATCAGGCTGGGGAGATGGCTTAGTGCAAGCCCAGGGGCCAGAATCAGTTCCCCAGCACTCAGATCAGGAAAGCAAAATAAGTACTGTGCCGTGTACCTCTCTGTAATCTTAGTGTTGGGGAGATAGAAACAGGAAGATCCCTAGAGTTTGCTGGAGAGACAACCTAGTCAAAGCAGGAAGCTCCAGGTTCCGTGATAGACCTTGTCTCAAAAAAAAAAGAATGGGGATGGATGGAGAGATGAAGTAGAAGGTAATTAAAAAAAAAAAAATCAGCTTTGACCTCTGACCTGCACACATAAAGCATGTATATTTCTCCAGTTCTTAGCTTTCTCTTCTGTAAGATGGAGGTGTTTCCTAGTGTGTTGCACGGATATGGAGAATGTGTGGATTGCTACTGTGGATACAGCTAGCACGTGGTAGACACAACAGAATCACATACCTGCAGCTTCTCTTCAGTTGGCTGCCTTTGTGTCTGGTCTCTGGTTTAATGAGGGAGAAAAAGCTAAGCTTGACACAGGAATCTATTTAAAAAAATACAGTTTTTATTTTACGTGTATGGGTGTTTTTGCCTGCGTGTGTCCGTGTACCATGTGTGCGGTTCCCATAGAGGCCAGAAGAGAGTGTCAGATCCCCCTAACCCCTGGAATTGGAGTTACAGAGGGTTGTGAGTGCTGGGAGACGAACCCTTCCTTTGGAAGAGCCGCCCGCGCCGTTAACTGCTGGGCCATCCCTCAAGAATTCTTAGAAACAGACACTAAACCATGAAACACAGAATGAGCAAAATGTAGGGCAGGTTAGGCCTGGGTCTGATGTCGTTCAGGCTCGGGCTGAATTTTTTCGTCTACTTTTGGGGGTGGGAAGGAGCACAGAGCACTAGGGTCGGGATTATTGTTTGTATGTTTACTGGTGCTGGGGGCTGTACCCAGAATGCAGAACATCTGAGCATGCGTGCCACTGAGTCACCCACACACACACACACACACACACACACACACACACACACACACCGTCGGTCATACTGTCAGATTTTACTGAACTGCCTTGATTTTTAGGTTATACATTCAATCAACCAACACTATTTGCTGTCCCTCTACCATGGGCCTAGGCTATATGGTCTCCAATCCTGCTTGAGCCTTGATGGCGCCAGGGGTGTCTGATAATGGGATACACAGGTTTAAGAGCTGGGACAGAAGGACTTCTCCGAGCTGCTCTGAGAAGGCGGTACTACCAGGCCAGTGGGGTTTTTGAGCCACAAAATGCGCTGTGCTCAGGAAGCTAGGGAGAGTTTTGTCTACGCCCTGCTCCGGGAAGAGCAGGACTGCTTTCCCTTGAATCACCACGTGCCCAGACTTGAGCTTGAAAGAGAAGCCTAGTCAATAGTTTTTCTTTTAAAACAGTTTTTAAAAAAACAGTTCATCAGAACCCTTGTATGAAGATCAGAGAGAGACAGGGCAGAGACAAAGATAGTCAGAGGACAGACAGACAAGCAACTGAAAGATAACTGGAGAATTAGAGACAGAAGCAAGAACCCTTGTTAGAAAGCCAGGGAGACAACAACTGTGCTTTGTCAACTTTGTCCTCTGAAAGAAACTACATTTTTCCTGGCTCTTTTCTTTGGAGGTTTCCAGAAGAAAATGGTTAATTTGGTTTGGCTTTGTTGTTTAATTTTGTTTTCATCTGAGATAAGGATTTACTTTGTTGCCCAGGCTTGCCTAGGCTTACTATGTTGAGCAGGCTACCCTCAAACTAAAGGTGAGCCTCCATCTCAGCCCTCCCTGGGCTGAGATTACAGCTGCGCCCCACCACACAGAGAAAAACCCTCTTTGTAGCGTGTTTTAGGGCTTCACTTTGACATCAGCCAGATGGATGGTTCACAGGCCCACCCAGAGCTGGCCTCAGGCCCCAGGATCATGGCAAAGAACGCCATCACTCAAGAAACCAGGAACCCTGGGCCACTAGAAGTACCTATGCCTCTGCAAGGCCCTGCCCTCTGGCATTTTCCTTGAATAGCGCATTTAACTTCTGATGGAGACCAACGCTGAGAACTCTGAAGATGGTAACCAGAATATGTAGCCTGGCACTACCAGCTCTGACGCCTTCCAGGGGCTGTGAAAGCCTTCTTTACCTTTCTGGCTGTCTAGAAACACATAATATAGGATATCATTTCCTTCCTATGAGGTTTCTTGCTGGTAATAAAAAAAAAAAAAAAAAATAAAAAAAATAAAATAAATGTCTAAGGTTAAAAAAAATGTCTAGGGTTATGAGGCTTATACACACCAAGAAAGGAAACACCCTTCTTTCAAGTACGGTACAGCAGCCATATGGCCTAGCCTCATGGCTCCTCCGGGAGTCTTTTCTGAGCTCAGAGTAAGGACATGTGGCCTCCATCTGCCCTCTGATGGAAGCTGGTTGCCTTCTGATACACACACTGGTGTCTAGGAGAGACACATTTCCTTCAGGGTCTTTGTTGCAATTGTAGGCTTAAAGACACAGCCTTGGAGGCATAGATGGTGCTTCGTTCATTGGCTGAATCACGTAGAAAGCACCATTCTTCCTGAGCAGCGAAGAGCACTTACTGCTCTTGCAGAAGACCTGGGTTTGGTTCCAGGCACTCACATGGCAACTCATAAACCTTCTGCAACTCCAGTTCCAGGGGATCTGATGCCTCTGAGGGCTTCTGGATGCACAGACATGGGACACAGGGACACACACACACACACACACACACACACACACACACACACACACACCATCCTTTATTCCCATCCCAGTAGAAGTGATTCCCCCTCTGGCCTGTCTGTAAGCCTGTGTAGAAGACAAGTTTCCTTACACAATTCTTATCTGCCTAGTGCTTGCCACAGCAGATGGAGCAGGGAAATGAATATCGGTAAGTCTAGCATTGCCCAGCTTTCTGATGAGTCCTCAAAACCCACCAGGATCTAGAAGGTTCTGGAGCATCAGGCACCTGCCCATAAAACTCTGCCGAGAGAAGAAGTGCTTTCTAGTCAGAAGCGGTGTCTGCCCAGAGCCTGTGTGTCTAGAGTATGGTCTAGTGCCTAAGGTGCTCAAAAGAATGGTAGAGGGGTCTCATGTGTCTTCTCCTCTTTGCAGACGTTACAGGTGATCTACCCCTATTCCCCTCAGAATGATGACGAGCTGGAGTTGGTCCCTGGGGATTTCATCTTCATGTCTCCCATGGAACAGACCAGCACCAGTGAGGGCTGGATTTATGGCACCTCGCTGACCACTGGCTGCTCGGGGCTGCTTCCTGAGAACTACATCACCAAGGCTGATGAGTGTAGCACCTGGATCTTCCATGGGTAGGTAGACCTACTCTCCTGTCCTGTGCGCTGCCACCACCTATCTGGGGTCCTGGTGGGCAGCCCGGTTGAGGCTTCTATCCGGCACCGGCTGGAGGATTGGTTACACACTAGTGCTGAGATCAGCTCTGCTTCAGGGCTTCTGTCCGCCTCGTTCTGGGCCAGGACGCTTGGGGGCTGACTTCTCAGAGCAACTAGACAGACTCCTTTGTCAGCCAGACCAATGACGGAAAGAGATTCAAAAGTCAGGAGCCCTAACTGTAGCCCTCGTTTGCTAGGTATCCCTGAGCAAGGCCTCAGGCCTGGCATGTATATGCCTAGGCCAAAGAGACAGTGTCCAGGGTGACTGTTGGAACTAGACAGGAACATGTTTTGTCACTTTCTTTATTAAGGTGACAGCCACTCTGCTCTCTGCAGCCCACGCTGGGGCCCAGTGTCCAGAGCGGACCATGTCGTGTAACCATCTTTGTCCCAGACAGAAATAAATACGAGCACAAAGTGCCTTTCTCCTTTGCAAGCCAAGGAATGCAAATCCAGCCCCAGGTTTCCCATGCTGGTTTGGTTTTCCCTTCTTCTTGTTCCTTCCATGTGGCAATGTGGTTGAGAGGCAGAAGCCCTGAATCCCCACTGCATTGTAACCTACCACTGTTAGTGCCAGTCATAAGGGACCAGAGCAGATGATTTCTGCAAGTTCTTTTGCCTGGAGGGAAAAAAAAAAAAAGAAGGTCCCCTGCTCCATGAGACCTGGGCAAACCACACACCCAGGATGGGAGAGAATGCTTTCTTCCTTCCTCTGCCTTCCATGACGTCCTGCCCCAGCCCACAGTTATCCAGATGCTTCATGACCGCAGACATCTGGTTTTTAGAGATGTTTCTGAGGCTGAGAATATAGAAGTTGAGCCTCTGCAGTCACCTATTTATCCCGTAAAAATAAGTAAGGGCTGGGTGAGACCTCACTGGTAAAAGTGTGGCTACTCATGCTCGTAATTCCAGTGCTGGGGGAGGGTGCGGCAGTTCAGCCTAACCTACTTGGTGAGTCTGGGGACTGTGAGAGACTTTGCCAGGAGAGGAGAGGAGGAGGTGGAAAGTGAAGGGCTAGCAATGCGATAAAGGCACTTGCCAGAGAGACTAATGACCCAAATTCAAACTGCAGGGCACACGTGGTGGAAGGAAAATCCCAGTCCAGAGGGCTGCCCTATGACCCCTTCACACACACACACACACACACACACACTACAGTCTGTACAAACATAAAAATAGAAATAGAAATGAATGAATGAAGAGAAAGAAAGAAAGAAAGAAAGAAAGAAAGAAAGAAAGAAGGAAGGAAGGAAGGAAGGAAGGAAGGAAGGAAGGAAGGAAGGAAGGAAGGAAGAAAGAAAGAAAGGATCCTAAAAACTGTGTTAATGGACCTAGAGGAGATGGACCAGAAGTTAAGAACACTAGCAGTGTAATCCTAAGGACGAGAGTTCAGATCCTAGCCCTACAAGGTGACTCACAAAGCACCTGTAATTCCAGCTCCAAAAGATCTGATGCCGTCTTCCAGACACTGAGGGCCCACATGCATCTGTTCACACAGACACGCATGCACGCACACACATATGCACACACACAGAGATATTTATATAAGTAAAAATAAATACATTTTTTAAAAGCTGGACAGTGTCTAAGGAACTCGGGGCTGTTCTCTGTCAATCCCCACCCCCACCCCCCTACACACAGGTACACAAACTGTAACAAAATGCAGTCATGCATTGCATCTGCAATGGTGTTTGGGTCACAGGTGGCCCCTGTACACAGTCACGGTCCCTTAAGTTGCATCACGGCATCCTAGAAGCCGTGTTTATTCTCACTTTGATGTTGTTCAAACAAGTCAGTCAGCTAGTGATGTGATTCTCGGAACACAGCCCCAAAGGGTGGCTCATCATATACTGAGACCTGAAGATACTTTGCCTGGTGGAGAATGGCTCACAGGTCTCCTGTCTTTAGCACGTGTAGCACAGGGGCTACATGTGAGGGAAGAGTGCACACATGGGAGCCTGCTAATTCCTGTAAGAGTCTCCATCTAGACCTACGCCCTGAACTAAGACTCAGCTCCACCATGGGAGACACTGACCAGCCTCACTCAGGGCACCATGGAAGGTCTTTTGAAGATAACTGTTGAGGTCACTTCCTGGGAACTTTGTTGGAAATTAAACAGCCGACTCAGCTAAGTGTCAGAACACAAAGGTTAAGAACTGAGACTCTGACTAAGTTCTGTTGAATTCTATTCCAGTTGGATCCAAATCCTACTGTCTCATATACTGGCTGTGTAAACCTTGCCCAAGCTGAATTGCTTCTCTAGGCCACCATAAAAGAGATAATCATTGCACATACAGTATAAGTTGTGGTAGTGACTGCAAAAACAAACAAACAAACAAACAGCTCTGCTAGATCTTTGGTAGCTGTACAGCAGTACTGACTACAGAGTACCCACTGGTATTTTGATTGCTTTTGTTTTTGTTCTGTTTTGTTTTGTTTTTTGGTCTCTGTTTAGCAGACCTCATTAAACTAAACGTGTCTTTCATAGAAACGGCCTCACAGGTGAGTTGCACTTTACTGCTCGGCTGCAGAGGTAGAAATGGCTCCCAGAGGCATAGCTCGGCTCCACTGTAAGACACACCTTCTCCTGCCTAGGATGGGTAGTTATGGGGAGATATATGACCTGGTTTGGCCCTGGCTGGCTGCATGGAAAGCTCTAGAGAAGGTTCAGGCAGTGTACAGGGACTTGGGGCGTCAGTGGCTTCCACGCCTCTCCCCACCCATGGCTCCTTAGCTTTCGGAATGCCTGAGGAAGTGTTTTCTTTCTCACTGCCCTTTCTGGTGGTCATGTATCCCTCAGTGTCCCTGAGCACCTTCCCAGTAATGCTCACCCTTCTAGACTGGGTGCTATGCTGACCCTCACACAGGTCTACCATGTTCTAGGCAGGAGCCTGAGTCTTCCTGCTTTCTGAGAAGGGGCTCTTGGCATCAGGCCCGCTTCCCTTCCACCCTGGTCTGACACCGTTCCCAGGCTGTCCCTGGGAGGAGCCAGATCTCCTGATTCTAGTGACATTGAAGATGGGAAGGAAGCTGCCATTCACCTCAGCAAGGGAACTGGAGGGAGAGAAAAGGCCCTATCATTTTCTTCCCAGCTGTGATAAAGTGAAGAACTCACAGACGTGGGCAAGGGAGATGTCAGCATGATTCCAGACAGCTAGACACTGGAGGCCTAAAGCTTTGATGAGCCAGACAGGAAAACTGACATTTCTTCAATCGTGCGCTGTTGGGGAGGCTCCTCTGCTTAAGATAAAGGCAGACAGCTGGTCTACCAGAGTGTGTGAGTGCCTTGAATTTCCTTGGGCTATACTTACTTAAGTTTGCCCGTAACAGGCTTAGCTTGGCTGCACATCACACCAAACAGACGCAGCTCTGTGGAGCTACAGGCCCCTGGTTCTGCCTCATGGGTTCTGAACCCATAGTCTGTGAGGGACGGGATCCAGACAAGGGCATCCTGGTGTGTCTGATGTGCACAGGCTGCAGATCTTTGCCTGAAGGTCTAGTCAGGCTGGGAACATAGCCCAGTTGGTAGAGTGTTTGCCTAGCATGCCTGGAGTCCTGGATTGATCTTCAGCACTGTAGAGAGTAGGTGTGGCAGTGCACAACTGTAATCCCATGGAAGCACGAGGATCAGGAGTTCGAAGCCAGCCTGGACTACATGACACCCTATCTCAAACAAAAACAAAAACTGGCCTATCATTTGGAGGGAGAAAGCAGAGGCATTGAGGACTTCTAAAAATATGCCAAAGTACTAACATCATATGATTTCTTGAAAAGAAAAAACAAAAATCCTGACCTCTGACCTGACTATGTCACTCATGGGCATTTGCCCACACGACTTGATGTTTATTAAAGCACTGTTCACAGTAGCCGAGATGGAGTCAACAGAGGTGACACAGGTCAGCAGAGGAATGAATAAAGAAAACGTGGTAAATATATGCAGTGGAATTTGATTTAAAAAAAAAAAAAAAGAAGTCGTAAATGAATTAAGTCAAACTCAGAAAACCAAATATTGTGTGGTTTTCTCTCATCAATCATAAATTTTACATAGGTACAGAAAGTCACACATACACAGACACACATACATGTATACATGTGACATGAATACAGACATGAAACTGCTTAAAGGACTCCGGGGAACTAATGGGAGAGCCATGTTAGGCTAGAGAGAAGAGAAGGAGAAAATGTGATCAAAGTGCACTATCAACTTTTTTGGAAATAAGATGTGTGCCCCCCCCCCCCCATTCCCACCAGACAAGGCTCCTGTGTAGCCCTGGCTGTCCTGGAACTCACCATGTAGAGCAATCTGACTTCAAACTACAGAGCTCTGCCTACTTTTGCTTCCAGAGTGCGGTGACTAAAAGGGTGTGTACCACGCCCAATGCGTGCATTAAATGCACATTAAGTACATTAAATGCTTGTAGAACAACGTCCTTACAAGACTGAGTACTGTGTGTAAGGAATATATGTCAAAAAAAAAAAAATGCTAGAGGTAGGTAATTAAAAAACCAAAAGCCCGACAACCAGTTAGCTTACTGGTTTTAGAAAATATGAAAAAAAAAAAAACATTCAAAAGTAAAATTCTAACAAGCATATCATGTTGCCTACTGTAGAGTGCGCACTTGCTGGCCAGCTCAGATTCTCGGGTCTACAGAGGCAAACCCAGACTCGATTAGGCAAACCGGCCCTTTCCAAGAGATTAAAATTAAAAATCCAGATAGTTCCCTTTGAGACTTCCCAGTGACCCAGGAGATGTTTGTCGGAGCTGCCCAGCGGCCATATTGTAATAGCACCCCTCATTACATAAAGCTTTCGGAAGGCATCCTGTGTTCAGGAATTTCAGTGTGGCATGTTTGGAGAGTTTTGCTCTCAGCCGGATCTCCTCTGGGCCTCCGTAGTCACAGTGGCTTAGTTGGAAATAAGAGTTCTTAGTTTAAAGCTTCAAACATCTAGCAAGAGTCAGGTCCTCTGAAATGCCCCAGTCTTTACTCATCTTCTTGGAATCGCTGTGAAGGCTAGCACAGTGCTGGAGACAGAAGAGAGCAGGTTAAGGGATAAGGACCATGTTCCTGAGAGCCGCAGAGCCACAGGCAAAGCCATGCTGGGAACACATCTGCCCTCACATTCCTCGGATGGAAACAGCCATGGAAAAGATTAAAGGCGACAGGAACTGTTTATTTCACTGCAGCAACAGGAAGAGCAGGAACAGTGGTACATAATTGATACCTCATTATTCTTTAACGTGTCTCTGCTGCCAACCCTGCCTGCAGCGTCCTAATAAGCTGAGAATCACTGGACCCCATCCCTGCCCAAAGGGATTCATGCATCTGTTCTCTGCTCTGAGAACTGTCTGCACCTTGTTTATTAACGGCAAGCCTTCAGTAAAAAAACAAGATGTTCTTGCCTGGGGATGGGATGCTCACTGCTCAGATTCCCAAGCACCCTGCGACCAGAACACCCTTTGTGCTAATTCCCATAATCCTGTTGGCTATGAACAACCCAGGACTCCCACCCAAAGCAGTTAACCCTTTCCTCTCCTCCCTCTGCAGTTCTTACTCCATCTTAAATACGGTGTCCTCGAGCTCACTCACGTTTGGTGATGGAGTATTAGAGAGGCGGCAGTATGAGGACCAAGGACTCGGGGAGACAACACCTCTCACTATCATCTGCCAGCCCATGCAGGTAAGGCTGATCGTGAGGGTCCTGTCCTCGAATGGAACTCTGAGCTTTTGTTTGTTTGTTTTACTTTGCTCTTTGAGACAGGGTTTCTTTGTGTAGTCCTGCCTGTCCTGGAACTTGCTGGCCTCAAACTTAGAGATCCTCCTGCCTCTGCCTCCCAAGAGCTAGGATTAAAGGCATGCACCACCACCACCTGGCTAATCAGAATGCTTTGAGGGCCATCCTTAGCATTGACCTTGCTCCTTCCAAAGGTCATTGACCTTATGGAGAGGCAGTATACAAGGTCATAAAAGACACACAACAGTCCTAAACTAGAAGAGACTGGTGAGCGGTGCTGACTGCGGACATCGACGTTTGAGTTTGAGCTTGGAAGCAAGGCCATCCCAAGGAGAGAAGAGGAGGCTTTCACCTCAAAATAGGTCTGACACCTATACCTGTATCGATAGAATGAGGTTCTTATCATAGTAATCAGTGTAGTGAGAATTCAGTATATTAGTGGCCCTTTTGGAGACTGAAGGAAGAAGGGAATAGGAGTGGTTTTCAAGCAGAACAGACAGACAAGCAGAAAGTTCAGTATGTTGAGGACAAACAGGGAGGGGCACTGTGTTTGGAGCGTCAGCAGAACAGGCAGCAGAGTCCACAACGCCCATCCACACACCAGCCCTGGCAAAGCAAGAAGGTGCCAGTGGAAGGGTGGGAGCCAACGATGACCTAGGAGTCCAAGGCAACTGGGAACACATGACATATCAGCAATAAGGTGCAGAAACGTCTGTGCCGTTCCACTAGCAGCTGCGGAACCTGTAGTTGTCTTAACTTGCCTGTGTCACCACTGAGAAGTTGTCCCTCCTGAGCCCGTTCTGGAAATGCCAACACGTATGTAGTCAGATAGTCATCAACACCTGATGATTAGACTATGCAAAGCATGGCTGGAGAGATGGCTCAGCAGCTAAGAGCACGGACAGCTCTTCCAGAGGTCCTGAGTTCAATTCCCAGCACCCAACATGGTGGCTTATAACTGTCTGTAACTCCAGTCCTAGTGAGTTCTTCTGCCTCTGTGGACACTATGCCTCATGTGCGGTACACAACCATGCAGGCAGACAAAACACCCATAAATAATACATGATAAAAGTGTTAGTATTAAAATGAAGCAGGGCACTGGAGGGACAGACATGTGTGTGACAATAGAATTTCTCCCTCCCTGAAGGAAATGATGACATCCTCCTTTGGAGGAGACAGCTGTCTTTCTGAATGATCATCTCTACATTAATGACTGGTTTGACCTGGGAACTGTACCTTGGATAAGCCTATTAGAGTAGGGACAGCAAAGGGCATAATAGCACTTTCGTAATTCCTCATACTTCACAGCACCTGAAGGTATCTCATGGGAGCCTGAGAGTAACTGTAGGGTGAGTTTACTATCCTCACTTTACAGCTAGGCCAGACTAAGCTCACGGCAGTCAAGGGCATTGTCAGAGTCAGACACTGGCAGATTTTTGTCCTAGGGCTCAGCTCTCCTGGCCTCACGGCAGGTCTGTGATGCCCTGTGTATCCTTACTCTTTGCTTTTCTTTCTCTGCAGCCCCTGAGGGTCAACAGCCAGCCTGGACCCCAGAAGCGATGCCTCTTTGTATGTCGGCATGGGGAGAGGATGGATGTTGTATTTGGGAAGTACTGGCTATCCCAATGCTTTGATGCCAAAGGTGGGTGACTTTAGTCTCTCCATTTGTCCAGTTTGACTCTAGTTTCAGTTACCCATGGTTAACCATGTTCTAAAACCAGTAAGTAGAAAAGTCTAAAGCAAGCTGTCTTAGAGTTTTTATTGCTGTGATGAAACTCCATGACCAAAAAGCAAGTTGGGGAGGAAAGGGCTTTTTTCGTTTACACTCCTACATTGTAATCTATCACTGAAGGAAGCCAGGACAGGAACTTGAGCAGGCAGGAACCTGGAGGCAGGAGCTGATGCAGAGGCTATAGAGGGATGCTGTTTACTGGCATCCTCTCTGAGGCTTGCTCAGCCAGCTGTCTTACAAAACTCTGAACCTCCAGCCCAGGCATGGCACCACCCACAATGGAGTGGGGGTTGGCCCTTCCACATTAATCTGTAATTAAGAAAATGCTCTACAGGCTTGCCGATAGCCCAATCATATGGAGGCATTTTCTCGGTTATGGGGTTTCCTCCTCTCAGATGACTCTAGCCTTTGTCAAGTTGACATAAAGTTAGCCAGAACACAAGCAAGTCATGTAATTTAAGTTGTAACCCCTCCATTCCGGGAAATGTGATAAAATCTCAGGTTGCCTATGTCCCACCTAGGACATCATCCTTTTTGTCATTGTATTCACAGTATATATGCTACCCACTCATTTGTTGCCTAATAACATCTTGGCTATCTAATCTACTGTCACAGTACCATTTACCTCTCCTCACTTGATCACATAGATAGATTATGTGTTGTTTTTCTTAGTTGGCCTGCCTTGCTGATCAGGTGGGAAGGTGTCCAGCCTTCTGGTACTCAGTGGAAGGGTGTTGGGGAGACCCACAACTCTGAGGCCACGAATCTAAGTCACGTGCTATGAGGACTGGGAAGGTATCCCAACTCTGAGATGAGAGAGAGTCCCAAAGGTATCCTGAGACACGGGGGCCCAGGAACCTCACTGCTCTGAGAGAAGGCCTCTACAACAGAGACATTGCAGCTCCCAAGGGAGGGTTGCCCAATCCTGAGGAGCTGAGGAGCCTGAGCTCTGCTCCTTCATTTCTTCTCTTCTCTTCTTCTTTTCCTTCCACCTCTGACAAGTGAGTTAGAGCAGGCAGTAAATCTCTTAAAAGAGATTTATTAAAGAGACGAATCCAGGAGAGGAGGGACAAATCCAGGACCAGCTGACGGAGAAGGCAGCAAGAAACTGGGGAAAAAACAGCCTTAATATAGGAATTTGTAGGGGGTGGATCTTGGGGGGGGGGCAGAGGTTTCTAGATTGTGGGTTGGTGGGATTTCAAGTCCTGAGCTATGGGAAGCTCAGGGATTGGTGAACTTTCCTGTTCAGGGATTGGCCAGTTTTCCTGCTCAGGGATAGGTGGTTTTCTGTCCAGTCTTTTCACCTCAAATTTGCATAATATGGGATGAGTCTTGCTGAGGGGGCTGAAAATGAGAGTTAGAGAGATCTCGGGCAGTGTCCTTGGGCTGCTGGACCTTCCTCAAGCCGAGGTCTGGCCGCTTTTCTGCCTTGAGGGGTTATAAAGTATGCCAAGTGTCCAAAACGTTCACAGTTCACTCTGAAGGCAGTAGACTGAAGCAGGAAAGGTTACCAAGGACAGCTCCCATGGCCTCAGCAGGCGGGGAGGAGGGGCTGACTGCCCAGAGCCTGGAAGAAGAACGAGGGAACCATTTGCTACTATGTATTAAACTGGCCTCTAAACATAGCTCTTGGAGGGTGCAGTGGGCACGAGGGTGCAGTGGGCAGCCGGCCCTGCAATGGGGAAGGGGCGGCTGTGGGTCACAGCTTGTGAGGCATCAGAACAGCTTGGGGTGGCCTGCTGCCTCGCTTGGGGTAGGTTGGAAGGTGGAACTGCCTTAGCCTGGGAGGTCTGCTGCAGTGGCCTTAGGGTGGTAGATTGCCTGAGCTCCAGCCTACATGGTATCTTTAATAAGAAGTGTAACATTCTTTTTTAAAATTATCCTTTATTTGAGGTGCTTAGGCACCAACCCCTGAACCTTGAGTAGGAGAGAGAAAAGGTTAGTGGGGAGAGGAGGCCCAGACACCTTTACTTCTCCCGGCTATTGAGGGTCAAGGGGTTCTTTCAGGGCCCTATATCAATCTCCATCAACTACAGACACAGCTAGCAGGCTCCTCCACGAGGCTGCGCCCCGAAGTGTTTCTCTCCATTTGTCTGCTCCAAACCACCACACCGTCTCTGGTCTCTGGTCTCTCCAAACGGTTACACGCCCACACTGAACGCCACACCTTTTCTTTCTCTGCTCTCATATTTATACTCCCAGAGTCCTAGACCACGCCCCTCTCTACGCTGCACATGGAAGGCCATTACCAGCTGGCAAAGACCACACCCCACATGTGGCAATTAACAGGTGTGGACAAACTATAGCCCAACTAAAACCCCACTCTTAGGATTAAAACCAAAACGTATTTACATGATATAGCTGAGTTCACAAAGAACCCAAAACTTCCATCCAAGTATAATAATCTATTTTGTGCAAGACACCTGTATGATTTTCTTCTTATATGTCATTTTGTTATTCCTCATTACTGTGACAAGTTAAATGTTGTCATAGGTGTGCTTGTGTGGGGAAACGTATAATCTGTTCAGGATTTCACACTTGTCTGTGAGCTCCGGCATCTAGTGGGGATGTATCTCCTGTCTCTAAGGGGAAAGTACTGGTGGTTGGTGGCCTGCACAGCAGTGCATACCCGTCGCGGCCTCTAGGGGGCACCGTCAAGCTACTTTTATATACAACGAGTCATTTTAATGTAGTTAGGAAATTTCTGGACTCTTAAGTCCTTCTTGGTTGTTTCAACTCTTAGGGGAGAGATAAGTGTTCTTGTTCCCATTCTATAAACTGAGGTATCTGGGAGCAAAGAGTAGCTGTGTCTTGCCCATGTTCATGAGCAAGACATGCTGATCCTGTAGCCAGAGTCCCTACCCTTAAATCACATAGGCCATCCAGTTACTCATTTGAGTGTCGTATTAAGAATGGGAGGCGTTGCCTTTGTTTGGCTGTTATTTTCGCTGAGAAATCCCCTCTCCGATGTCATCAGCAGAAGGGAGAGTGGATTCTATGTCAGTCTACTGAAGAAAAGGTGTCAGCTTGAACCATCATCGGCTTCAAATGGTTCAGTTCATTGTCATGACCAAGAAGGAGGAAGGGTCAGGCTCTTGGAGGAAAGTCTCCAGGAAACAAGTCTGTGCAGCCTTTATATGATCTTCTCCCCCCCCCCCCCCTGCAGGCCGCTATATTCGCACCAACCTGAACATGCCTTATAGCTTACCTCAGCGGAGCGGCGGTTTCCGGGACTATGAGAAAGATGCTCCAATCACCGTGTTTGGGTGCATGCAAGCAAGACTAGTGGGTAAGAGCTCTTGTATGGCATCTCCTGGCTCCTTCAGCAGACCCACATTGTGGGTGTGCAGACATACTTCATAAGACTTCCTTTTGTGGTTTGGTTGGTGGATTTTTGAGGCAAGGTCTTACAGACCACGCTGGTCTAGAATGACAGATTTTCCTGCCTCGGCCTTCTGAGGGCTGGGATTACAGGTAGGCCTCTGCTGATTACAGATGTAGCCCCTGCTGAGGAATGAGAGAAGGAAAGTCAGGCCTTTTAATTTATTTATTTGCCACTGGTCTAGTAGATGTATCAGCTGCTAGCTCAAGAGGGCAGCCTCAGTCAGCATGGTGTATGAAAAAGCGAGGGTGTAAGGGAGAGATCCAGGGACATTGCAGAATTTGCAGAGGCCCGGTGACGTTTTGAAGTTGTTCAGTTCTTTGAAAGCTGTTTTCTATATTGGTGGTGCAGAAACTGTGCCTTATACGACTCAGCCATTTACTATGTATTACTGATCACTTATTTGGGCAAGTTCTGGGCTAGGTAACAGGGATCCAAGAGTGAAGATTCATGGAAATACATGTATGTATTATGATGACTATCAGACTACATGGCTGACTGAATAACAAAACTCTACACAAAGTATGAGAAGAATTTAAAAAAGAAAATACAAGGAAGCAACAAGAGAGGGAGGGAGAAGGAAGAAGAAAGGGCGATTAAGAGGCAGGGTGACTGCTCAGGTGTAGCCCATACGCAGCTCAGTGTCAATGTAGGTCGCCTAGTAAGGGGACCAGGGGCTGTCTCTGACATGAACTCTGTTGCGTGCTCTTCCATCACTTCCTCCAGGCAAGGTGACCTTGCCAGGCCACAAAGGAAGAGGGTGCAGGCACACCTGAAGAGACTTGATAGTCTGGGGTCAGTTAGTACAAGAAGAGGGCTTCTCCTTTAGGACTGGGATAGAGGGGAAGAAGGTGAGACCTGGAGGAGACGAGATGCTTTACATCTGAATGTAAAGCAAATAAAGTAAGGAAAAAAAAAAATAAAGAGGCAGGATGAGCTGAGGCCTCGAGTGGGAGTTATCTGAGTAAAGAAGGAACAGAAGGGAGAGAGAGTATTCTTGGTGTAGAGGACAATATAAACAAAACCATATTGCATCAGGGGATCCCTGCAAGACAAGCGCAGTGGGTAAAGGCACTTACAACAAAAGCCTTGTGACCTGAGTTCAAGCCCTAGAACCTGCATGAAGGAGGGAACTAATTCCATAAAGTTGACTGCTGACCTCCATATGCACGTGTGTGCCTTCTGTCTCTCTTTCTCCACTAATAATAAATATTTAACAAAAAGCACTAGGAGTACAGGGGATGCAAGCCCTTCTTATTTCCAGAGCACAGGTCGAGGCAGGTCAAAAGAAGGAGCTGGGAAGACGAACGAGTCCATGGAAGACATTGATACCACATGAAGATACTTAGAGTTTCCCTAGTAGAGAAAACAAGGGAACCACAAGAGAAAGCATTAAAGTGTTAAAGCGTTGGATATCGGCTTCCCAGTGTTAGAGTCTAGGCAGCTGAGATTCGGGTTAGCACAGCTGGAATTACGGCACCATAGGGTTTTACCGTCTAGCCCTCTGCCTGCTGTCACAGAGCGGGTTTCAGCATCTTTGTAGAGGCCAGAGCACTGTCCTGTCTGTAGCTCCCCTAAGAGGTGGCAGGGGAGAAGGAAAGAAAAAAAAGACAAGAAGAGGCGTGTTGCTTGGCCTCCTCGTGGAAGCACCAGTGAGGGGATCTGGCTCTCTGCGAGGTTCTGCTTGCACGGTTCCGCTGAGGGTCGGGCTGATGCCCGAGTGAATCCATCATGCTGATTCTCTGTTGATTTGCTTGGCAGGTGAAGCCTTGTTAGAAAGTAACACCATTATTGATCACGTTTATTGCTCTCCATCCCTACGCTGCGTTCAGACTGCACATAATATATTGAAAGGTAAGACTGTCGGCTGAGCGGAAGTCATGTGGTCCATCCCTCTGCTTCCTGTCACTTATTGCAGAGTTATGGAGCTTCAAAAACCGAAAGGTTTTGTTTGTGTTTGTTTGTTTTTGTTTTTTTGAGACAAGGTTTCAAGGTGACGTGTAGCCCACTAACCTACAGCAGTCCTCCTCTCTCAGCCTCCTGAGTGCTAGCATTACAGGCTTGAGCCACTGTGGCTCACACAAATCTGGAATTTTTGTTGAGGATTCTTCCACAAGGTAACCAACCTTGCACAAAAAACCATACTGCTGACAGTGTAATCGAGATAAAGGGAGTATACTATTAATTTTTCCCTAAGTCCTTTAAGCTGTCTTGAATGGATTGTAGCTGTACAAAATATTTGCTCCTTTTACAGAGATGGTTCTCTTTGCATTTAGGCAGTTGGACCATCTTCCCTGGCTTTGATGTGGTGTTTTGTTTACCTTTTTGTTCTCAGCAGTAACTGAGCTACTGGCGTTCCACACCATCACCATCTTAGTTTCTTCAGTTAATTGGAAAGACTTACTTATTCATTCACTTTTTTGAGATGTGGTCTCACTGGGTAGCCTTGACTGGCCTGGAACTCTCTGTGTAGACCAGATTGGCCTCACACTCATGGAGATCCACCAGCCTCTACCTCCAAGGGCTGGAATTAAATGTATGCAGCACCCTGCTCTGCAAATTAGAAAGGTTTTAAAAGCTCCATCGCTGAAAAAGTGCTCAACTTCCACCCTGAAGTCCATGGACATTTGCATTAGCACAACCTCCTTGGGAGGAAGACAGGGAGCTGGACTGAACTTGAGCCAGACACACAAATGAGCCAGAAATAAAGAAGCCAGCGAAGAACTTGCCACACACTTCAGCCTTCTCTTCTTTAACCTTAAGTAAACTTTCCTCTTGGTGCAGCGGCATCTGGGTATTAACTGCGCACAGAGAAGCTGAACTAAATGCACCGCAAAGAGAGCTAAGCAAATATAAAGAAAAAAAAAATATACATATATTCTAAGGGCATCACACTGGGATAAAATAGGACTTGTGCACTGTCATGTGTAAATTATTAACGTCGGGTTCCCTGATAGACAGAATGAGCAACGTATATGTGATATTCAGGCACAGCGTAAGCTGCTGCGTAGTAGTCCATGCCGAGAGACTAGCTGAGCTTTTGAGTGTGGGCTTTGTTGTGTAAGACATCATGGAATTTACTTTAGAAAGAGTCGGAACGCAGAAATGAGCTGGGTGTGGTGGCCCACATCTGTAATCCCAGCACTCCAGAGGAGGCTGAAACGGAGGGGTTGAAGGGAGACTTTGTCCCTGAAGGGAAACAGAGGGTCACCAGCTTGGATAGTTTGAGTAATGGTTTGTGGACGGGAGAGTTTCCCTTATATCAGATATATATACAGCATATATAGCATATACAGTGGAGGTGCAGCCAGAGTAATAAATATTAGCACGTGTTCGCAGAGCAGAAATTCTATTTTTAAACTCATGCTTTGTGTGTAGCTGTACAATATGCATATTAAACAACACTGTAAAGCACAAAGTTTAAAAACCTTGTCCAAAGCTGTGCACTTCCAACTTAAGTGATACATTGAGTCCAATAGGAAGGGAATAACTGCCTTGTAATTTTCTTTTTTTTTTTAAGGAGAGGTGGGATTATGGTATAATGACATCATTTCTCCTTCTCGTTCCTCCTCCCAGACCTTCCAAAACACCTCCCTGCTCTCCCTCATGACCTTTTTTCTTCATCATTTGTTACAAGTGTGTGTGTGTGTGTGTGTGGGTGTGGGTGTGTGTGTGGGTGTGTGTGTGTGTGTGTGTGTGTGTGCGCGTGCGCGCGCGCACGCACGTTTCTAAATACATAGGAATAATCTGCTTGGTTTGTATAGTGCTTCTTCAGGGCTGAGCATTTAGTGCTGGACAGCCCATCAATATGCTCTTCCCTGGAGAAGGGTACCTACCCACTCTGACCATCCCCCGAGTTGCCCATAGTTCTCTGTGTAGGGTTGAGGCCTCATGAGCCTTCCCCACGCCCCTTCCACCATCATGTCTGTTGGTGTCATCCTTGTTCAGCTCATGTTTAGGCAGTCGTGTTTGGGAGACTTTCTGGGTGTAGCTTCTGGTATGCCTAGAGAAACAATCTGGTAGCAGACTCTCCGATCTTTCTGCTCCCTCTTTCACAATGTTCCCTGAGCCTCGGGCGTGGGAGTGTTTTGTACGTGTATCGGGACTGGGCTCCACAGTTCTGTATTTTATTGGTTGTGGTTTTCTGTAATGGCCTCCAGCTGTTGCAAAGAAAAGTTTCCATGTTGAAGGTTTGAGGACACACGTATCTGTGGGTATAAAGACAAACATTTAGGATGTAGTTGGGGATCCTGTTGCTTTAGTAAAGTGGTGGTTATGGGTTCTCCTACAGGACCCATGACTTCACCAGCCCTGGGAAGTTGTCGAGGCTGATTTCCCTCTTGTTTAGTGGGTCTTAAGAAGTCTTAACTAGAGAGCTGTTGGTCACTGCCAAGGCCTGGATGCCACTGCTGCCCCATTAGGGTCATCCTGCCTTGCTCATCATCATCGTGGTTAAAAGACACTATAGCTGGGTACAACTTTTGGTTGCATCCCTCTTTTGCATGGTACATCCTGGTCTGCCTTATCATTTTTTTTTATCAGTTAGTCCTGTGGTTCATTTCTCCACTGACAATATGGTGGTGCTTCCTTCATCCTAATTCTACTTCATCCCCAAGGTTTACAACAAGACAATCACTTGAAGATTCGGGTGGAGCCAGGCCTATTTGAATGGACAAAGTGGGTTGCTGGGAGCACGTTACCGGCATGGATACCTCCGTCAGAGTTAGCTGCAGCCAACCTGAGTGTTGATACAACCTACAGGTAACACCCCTGACTTGCTGTCTCTCCAGGGCCCTGTGTCCTGCACTGTCACCAGGCCATGTTCATCAAACAGATGGTGGACCTAGCCAGGCCTACAGGGAGTTGTTCATCGTGGTAGAAATCAAGCTATGGTTTAGAAAACAAGACTGGGAAATCCTTACCCCACCTGCTCTTGGGTTCAGATTCCCTAACTTTATTATTGCTATTTCAACATCCTAGTAAAGCTGTTCTGTATTTTAGGGGCACACCCCCGGTGGTAAGAGAACAGCTCAGTGAATTAGGGACGTGACAGTGTGTTACCCTCCATTTTTACTTTAAAATTCTCAAATCACTTGCTCTTTTATCCTTTTGAGAGAGGGTCTCATGTAGCCCAGGCTGACCTGGAACTCATGATCCTCCTGTCTCTGACTCCCAAGTGCTGTGACTACAGGCCTGGGCCACTGTAGCTGGCTTCCACTGATTTTTAATTCTCTGTTCATGTATTATTTTTATGATCCTGTAAAGAGAGAGTGAATAAGGAGTGTTTGTGTGTGTGTCTGTGCGTGCACATGCATGTAAGCTCTCTAAGCTATGTCCCCAGCCCAGAAAGCCATTTTAAGTCCAAGTGGCTTGCCTATGGTAAAACATTTTGTTGACCATGCATGGAAATAAAACAGTAACAGTTTTGTTGTAAAAATTAACATCTATTAATATTTTTCTGTGTCTCAGGTTCTGTGTGTTCAGCCTTGTAGTCATTCTACTCCTGGTCCATTGTTCTTTCCAACAGGCCATGCTGTGTACTAGATTTATTTTTTTAATGTCCCCCCAGATGAACAATCTGTATGCCTGGTTAAAAAAAATAATAACAAAAAATAATACAGTGACAATACCATTCAAAAATCGACCCAGACACTTTGAGGAAAGCCAGATAGTCACTGCCGTTCCATTAGGAAATTAAACTCCTCTGTCTCACTGCAGATTTTGGTAAAGTAACCAGTCTGCATAGAACATTCTTCCTCGTGTTCTCACTTGTCCTCTCCTTTAAATACCTCACCTGTGACTAATCCCCTGAGTTCCTGGACACGGCGGGAAAGAATATCCTTTCTCCACAGTCACACTTGCTAAGATAACCCAGTCGCCCAGCTCTGTGCTACTACCTGTCTAAAGGGAACTAACTTTCCTCAGACATGACATCCCATCGGAGACTTCCCTAGTATGCCTCACACTTTGTTCAATCTCCTCTCTGGATGCCATTTTTCTCCTTCTTGGGGGAAATAGCAATAAACTATTGTCCCGTGCAACAGCCATCACCTTTCTGGCTGGGAGAGATGTCAGGTTATTGTCAACATGGGTAAAGTAACTCTCCTCTCTCTCCATCAGCTCCATCCAGGTCATTCTGGGGTGGCTGGGTCCTAGTTCCCACTGTGAGTGTGTCCTACAGTATGTCCCAAGGTGACCTACAAAGTTCTGCAAAGGCTTCCTTGCTGAGCCTCTCGGTGTACCCAGGCCACACAGCCGTCAGCTGTGCAGGCAGCATGAATGCTGGGAACTATTGGATCGAGACATGGTTCTTATTCCTTTTTCATTTTAAGATTCGGTGTGACATTTTCTGTCAGTTTTGAGTAGGACCAGGAAGCCTCTGCTTCCATGAATAAGATGAGAAAGCCAAATGTAAAGCATAGGAGAGGCACTGTACTGGAGTTAACAGCTGTGTCATAAATGGAGCCAAACGAGTAGACCTTCAGAGCAAGTAAATGCAGCTCAAATGGTGACGGGGGGGAAAAAACCCAAGAGTCAGTACAATCAATCACGCGCTGCTTAAAGAGCCCTGGCTCTGGGGCTCAGTGGTTAAGGGCACCTGCTGCTCCTACCGAAGAACGGATCTTGGTTCCCAGAACCCATATGGCTGCGCACTGTCTGTAATTCTATTTCCAGGTCATCTGATGCCTCTTCTGACCACCTCGTGCTCCTGCACACGTGGTGCACTTATATGCACTCGCCCACATACACATAAATATATTATTGTGAAAAAGAGTCTTGGCTCCTTGCAACAGGGACCACGCAGAACAGGAGGAAAGGGCTGGAAGCTAAGTGGGGAACCATCCCAGGCTAGTAACTCATATCTAAGCGTCATCCACAGGCAACAAAAGCTGCCTGTGGGCTGTGTGTAGAAAGCAGGCTAGGGAGCTAGGCCAAGAGTATAAGAGGGAAAAATATAAACAAAATATTCTACCAACTGGGAGGCATTTCAGAGCAGGGTACAGGGCCCTGATATTTGGAGGGCCAGGAAGGATAGAGGACTGAGGCAGGGTGAGCTTTGGATAAAGCTCAAAGCAAAGGCATGCACTAGGATTGGAGCAGTATAGGTTGGAGAAGAGGGTGGCCAAGGGAGGATGCTGGGAGAACCACCAGGGAGCGCTTAAGTTGTAAGAGCAGTAAGTAGTTGGAAGTTGACCCGACTCTAAAGGCAATACCGTACCTTGTAAGTGTAGCTGGGGATGTGATAGGTCCTGCTTATAGGAGAAGCTTAGACTATCCCATGACAACCAGGACACCTTTCAAGATGCTGAGAGAAGTCAAAGGCAAGAACGGGTGAGGAACTAGGTCCTGGGATTCCATTTTTATTTACACAAATATGACAATGACACCCAAGAAGAGACTCCCTGACCGTACAATGTGACCTTTTGGTACAGAATGGGGAAGGGAGATGCTCCTAGGACACAGGGTAACATAAATGACAAAGGAATGGTGTAAGAGGTGGGGATGGAAAGAAAAGGCCAAGAAGAGGAGTTCATTCCAGAACAAAGACATCCATCCCTAAATGATGGTGACTCTTGTCTCTACTTTTCCTTCAGGGAAGAGTCGGCTGGTGAGAGTCAGGATGCTTTCTCCTAGGAGAAGTGTGCCTGCTGAGTGAAGGTTAAGAAAAACAGGTTTCCTCCAAACTCAGCAATCTTAGGCTTCCTGATAGTAAAATAGTGTCAAATGGGCAGTCTTTTGGACTTTTTGTTTTCTTTGTGTTTGTTTGTTGTTGGTTGGCTGGTTGGTCGGTCAGTCTGATATTTGTGAGAGCGTTTTCCTATGTAACCCAGTCTAGCCTTCAACTTTCATTGGTAGTTTTCGTGCCTGAGCCCCGTGAGCACTGAAATTTCAGGTTTGTGCCAGTAGCCATGCTATGATGGGTGAGTGGGAAGAGAACACTATCAGAAGTTGTCCTGTGTAAGAGGCTCAGTTCACAGGGCACATCCAAGACTCAGATTGAGATCTCAGCTCTAAGAGTTGCTAAAGACAAATCAGCTGTCACGTTGGAGCCGGTTTTGTCACTTGGAGACTTAGAATTTGTGGAAGTGCTGCTGAGAAGATTATACTGGAAGAATGCAGGCAATGCACTTGCAAAGAGCCCTAACTCGTGGGAGTGTCTCAGTAAATATTTTTAGTGCTAATTTTAAAAGTAGTGATTTAAAAATTATAATCAAGATGCCATGTGAATTTAGAGTGCCGGGTCGGTAACCAGCAGGTAGTGCTTAGAGGAGGGTGGCCAGTCCAGCTGGATACTCTCTGTGGCTGAGCGGGATGATGAGTGTCGACGGCCCGGGCCTCCTCGGATGCCCCAGGGAATAAAACACCACTGAGCTGGGAGATCTGTCGAAGCAGGAACTCTGTTTATTGAATAAAATGGTCCTTTTTATAGGTTTGGATCAGGAGGCAGGATTAAGGAAGTGAGGTAAGATGACATAGAGAGCAAGGTTCAGTAGTACAAGGAGAGGTGGGCCAGCGACAAAACTCCACCTAACAATTGCCAGGCAGGGTTGATTTTAAGGAGGATATGCTTTTGTCTGGAAGTGGCGCCTCTTAAATCAGAAGCTAAAGACAGGTCTCCAAACTCAAGCCAGGCTCAGGTAGATGCAGCAGGTCTTATCAGGCCCAACATTTCCCCCTTTTTTCTTTTATTTGACAGTGGACATGGCCCCTGTCTTAGGTTGTCCCCTACATGGAGATCTTACCTGTCATTGGGTACCATGTAGCCAGCTTATCAGAAGCTCCTCCAGAACCTGCCTTAGGTCACCCCAGCACATCTGGGGTCTTATCCATCATAGGTCAAATGGAGGGCAGAGGAAGGTCTTTTCTAGGAAGATGCCTGTGGCTTAGGCAGAGTTGGGTTCCTGAGTAGCTAACGGATGATAATGTATTTCTACTTGATGCAGCTTAATTGCCTCTAACCTCTGCTGGATAAACTGTATGAGCTTGTTAAGAATGAATGGCCCAAGGGTAAGTAGGAAAAGGAAAAGTAAGGGTCCGAGTAGAGGAAAAATATAGGGCAGGAGGCCATGAAAGCCAGTCCACAGGAGGTCTTCTTGATGTTCTCGGATCTCTGACAATGCCTGATTTGTTGGCATAGAAGCAGCAATTTTCCTGCAAAACAAGCAGACGCCACCATTTTTGGCAGTTAGTAAGTCCAAACCCCTTCTAATTTGAAGAACAGGGCATAAAACACCACTGAGCTGGGAGATCTGTCGAAGCAGGAACTCTGTTTATTGAATAAAATGGTCCTTTTTATAGGTTTGGGTCAGGAGGCAGGATTAAGGAAGTGAGGTAAGATGACATAGAGAGCAAGGTTAGGTAGTACAAGGAGAGGTGGGCCAGCGACAAAACTCCACCTAACAATTGCCAGGCAGGGTTGATTTTAAGGCAGATATGCTGAATCACTTTTGCCTGAAAGTGGGGCCTCTTAAATCGGAAGCTAAAGACAGGTCTCCAAACTCGGGCCAGGCTCAGGTAGATGCAGCAGGCCTCATCAGGCCCAACATTAGAGAACTCAACACCACCCGCAGCAGGCACCACACATTCAACAATTAAAGGCACAAAAAAGTGAGAAAAGCACGGGTTTATGATAAAAACAAGTATCTCATGGACCTGAAACACCATAAAATTAAGGGAGATGTCAACAGACCAAGAAGGCCCCATGGGCACTGATGACTGGTCGCCATGATGGATGCTTTGGTTCTCCCCTTAAGTGCCTTTGTAGATTGCCTCAGTTTCCATCTACAGCCCCTCTCACCCGGTCCACACAGAGAGCTTCTCAAGTAGAGAAATTAATTCATCGTTCTGTCCCTCGGGCTTTTCCTAGTGCTGGGAGAATGGTTTAAAAATAAGACACAAAGAGAAAGAAGTAGTTGAGGGCAAGTGCATAGGCTCACAAATGGAGGGGCGACACAGCTGTTTTTCAAAGCCCTCCTTTCGGCTCATTGTGAATAAGGCTGCCGAGGAGAGCCCTGGCCATCCTAGGCGATCTGTACAGAGGGATCCAGTCTCCACCTTGTTCCCTGTGAGCCATGGGATTAGTACCCTCCATGACCAGTAATGTTGAGAAGAGGTAGTTGGGCAGTGTGTCCCCGTGGGTAAGCATGTACCGGGTGCCTCGTCTTCCCAACAAGTCACTGCGAGTGACCCTGTAGCCCTTCAACCTCAGCATCCACCGAGTGGAAATTCTCTTCCTTGTGCCTCCTTCATTTCCAGAGAGGTGGATGAACAGAAATAGGGGATCTTCCAAGAGGCCTTGAAATATTTAGGGTGCTATCACTTGCTTTTTCTCGGGATCAGAATGTCAACATGTTTCCTTTCCTTTGCTCACTTTTCCAATGTAGACCTCACATTCCAGTCAACAAATTAGTGATTTCGGAATCCTATGACACCTACATCCACAGGAGTTTCCAGGTGACGAAAGAGATCATAAGCGAATGTAAAAGTGAAGGTAGGTGGCACCCTCTGGGGCTTCATATTTAAATATGTGAACATCTCTCCTTCGTCGTTTATGAACTGTTTGGGCTTTTTTGAATATACTTTGTCAAATATGATAGGAAAGAATTATGTTTCCAGATAACTCCAGTAGGGACTTTCACGTTCAAGTTGGGATAGTCTACGAGGATCATACACGACAGGTGTCACGCAGGAACCCAGTAGATGGCATCACCGCATGGAATAACTTGGGCTCTGTATTGTAGCTAGTCATCTTGTGCCTTATGGAGGGGATGCCCAGTTTTAATTTCCAGAAGTTCTACAGAATAATACATTTACCTACCACGATTCATGACGGGAACGTCTGCACACAAACTCACCCACAGAAATGCATGCATACAGTGGCCCTGCTGCCACTAGCCAAGAGCAGTGTTGGGGAAGACTCTAGTCTGAATCTTCTAGAAACTGGCCTCAGATAGTTGATAGCATGCAAGACCAACTATCCACCATGAGTCTTAGGTTAATGTTATTTATACTCAGGGAGCAAAGGTTGTGACTACGTGCGTGCAGATATTAACAGTGGGTAGCCCTGGGCAGCTGAGGATGGATGAGTCCCACATTGCAGTCCTTACTGATAAGCTACTCGCCACCAGGAGGATCCATGAGGCGTACTCTCAGCTGTGAGGTGTCCAGGACTCACAGTTCTACGGGGGTGACATTTAAAACTATATTAGAGGGCCTGGCTCAGGGAGCCTACCAGCGTGGTCAGCTTGTGTCTCGATTGTGATGATGGTTAAACAGACATACACACGTGAGGGCATCACCGTAAACTGCTCATGCATAAAGCAGTGCTGATGAGCCTGGTGAGGTCAGAACTGTAACTTCTACCCATGTCCCTTTCTGTGTTTTTGATGATAAACCACATCATGAAACACGAGGCAGGGGACACGAGGCCACCTTACTCCAGTAGGGTAAAGGGGTATAACTGCCTATAAATCTATAATTATTTCAACTTCTTAAAATATTTTTGTTATTTTTAAGATAATTTTTTAGTCCTTTAGATTATCATACAAGGTATTAGATATTATGATATTTTCAAATGAAGTGTATTTTAATGGATTCTCCTGCCCCAAATTTACCTATTTATTTTCTGTGTCCAGGACTAAACCCAGGGTTGTTATGCATGCTAGAAATGTTGTACCACTGAATTCCATCCCTAGAATTCTTTCAGGTTTTTAATTAACATACAATAATTGTACATATTTACAGACTGCAGTGTGATTTCAGTATGTGTATATGCAGTGTATAGGGAGACAGTCAGGGTAATGAACCTTTCCCGTTTCCTAGGAAATAACATCCTGATTGTGGCCCACGCGTCTTCCCTCGAAGCATGTACCTGTCAACTCCAGGGCCTATCCCCTCAGAACTCCAAGGACTTTGTACAAATGGTCCGGAAGGTGAGTCACTCCTGCTGTTACAGAGCCGGGGGTACTTGGCGTTTGCACAACTGTTGGGTGATGGGATGATAGCTAATTTCCTTGAGGCAGAATTGTCCGCTGAGCTGGGGAGACTCTTTTATAGATTGACACTGCCAAGATGTGTTTAGTGGGACTGTGCAGGGTATTTGATTAGGACTGTGTGTGAGGAAAAGGTTTTGTGGAGGAAGCTAAGAACAAATAGCCGAAAGAATTTGTGATGAGGGAACAAATAGCCGAGATCTCAGCCTAAAAAGAGGGCCCAGCAGGCAGGCCAAGGGAAAGCAGCCTATGAGAACAACCAAACTGGGACCATGCCAGGACAGAAGCCCCAGGGGCTGGCCTAGCCCCTCTTGTCTGTGTTTTTTTTTTTTTTTTTTTTTTAATGTATTTTGCCTGCATCTGTCTGTGTGAGGGAGTTGGATTTCTTGGAATTGGAATCACAGACAGTTGTGAACTGTCATGTGGGTGCTAAGAAATGAACCTGGGTTCTCTGGATGAGCAGCCAGTGCTTTTAACCCCAGAGCTATATCTCCAGTCCCCTGTCTGGATTCTTTCTCCTGCCTGTATTTTCCATCAGCCACATCCTACACGCACATCTTGAGGTGAGGCAGCTGTCTCCTTTCCCTATAGTTCAAACTCAATTATAATTTAAAAAGAAAAAAAAGGCAAGCATCTGTCCCATTAGTCTATAAGCTATGAGTTGGGAGTCAGGTTGGTTGTCTTGTTTATGGCTGTGCTTCTAGACACAGAACACAAAAATAAGCTCTGAATTGCCATGACAGTTCATGGTTTCCTCTCTGGATGTCACAGGTACTTGTGCTGTGCTCCCCCCAAAAGATAAAACAAGGTTGACTTTTTATTTTTAATTGACTCATCAGCTAAGGAAGTAGATGCTGGATGATCAGGATTTCAAGGTCATTCTTAGCTGTATAATAATGAGCTCAAGACCAGCCTGGACTACATGAGACCCTATTTCAAAAAGAACTTGGATAGTCTTTCCTCTTATGCCCAAATAGAATGTGAGAGCTCCTCAGTATACCTTTTAAACGTGATATGCAGTTTGGAGTTAATCCTTGGCACAGTTGTGTTACTCTAGTCTCTCCCCACCCCTGTGGTCTGATGAAGTCTTATTGTGTCTAGTTTATAAGTTAAACGTTACCGTAGGTGTGTAAATAGAGGAGGAAAACATATACAGGGTTTGATACTGTCCGAGTTTCAGGCAGCCACTCAATCTGGAATTTATTCCCATGGTGAAGGCAGCACTGTGCATACTTCAGTGCTGTTCTCCCGCCCCCTTAGTCAGCAATCTGTAATCATGTGGTAGGGGCACTCAATGACCAGATCCTGCTCATCAGTGCTAACACTGTTGCCTTAGAATTACCAATTCCACCCATTTGGGATTGTTTGTTGACTTGTGGAATGTTTTACATTTCTGCCTGCACGCTCTGGAAACGCTTGAGTGTCTGTGTTGACACAAAGGTTGAAGCATTATTAACTCTCCAACTTCTGTTTTCCCCTTTCTTTGCTGCTCTGACATCAGATCCCATACCTAGGCTTTTGTTCCTGTGAAGAACTGGGAGAAACTGGAATATGGCAGCTGACAGACCCTCCCATCCTTCCCCTGACTCATGGACCCACTGGGGGCTTCAACTGGAGAGAGACTTTACTGCAAGAATAAGCCGCCTCAGAGGTGGGAAGAACTGGCCTTTTGTGGATGAGTCCTCAGGATGTTCAGTGACTGTGGAAAAGCCCACACTGCGTTCAAAGGGGACAGCTCAGAATCAGTTAGCATACTTCTGTTCACGCTTCGGGGTCTTCCGGTGAGACTGTGTCGATGAGAGAAAGGCATGATTCAGGGCGAGAAAAAACAAAATTCATCTTCTCTGGACTTGCCTAGCTAGGAAGGCTTTGGAGAACCGTCTTCCTAAGCTAGGTGCCTGCTGCAGCAGAGACTACCATCCTCCTTCAGGCTATGTATGCATGGCTAAAGAGCCTCACTCTTCTCCCCGAGAGCTGCCCGCACCCTCAAGAGGCATGCAAGGGGAAGGTCTGTGTCTCGAATCCAACTGGAGATGGGGTAGTCTTCTGTACTCCGTTTGCAAGTTAGGCAGAGCCACACTGAGGAGTGCTTTGATGGTTGTCAGCAACCATAAGAATAGTCCTCGGGTCACACAGCAGATGCCGCAAGGACCCCCACTCTTCATCCCGGCACCACCGCTTCGTCTCTAGAGCAGCCTGGCCCTTCATACTTCTGTCTGTGAAACGGGGAGAAAAGTACTTGTGCTCTCCAAAGCACTTTGAGATACTCAGGAGGAATCAAGAAAATGAGTGACGTATCGGACGGGAGGTATACCGACTTGCCGAACATTAATCAAGTTGAAACTGCCCCTGGGATAGCCCGACGGACTGTGAAATCCCTGAGTCTGTCTGAATCAAGATATGTCTTTCTACCCAGGCAGTTAAGGAGATTGACATTTGGAAGGATGTAGGTTTGATTCATTATTTGGATCAGGAAAAAAAAAACAAAACAAAACCTTCCTTCAGTGCAATAGTAGAAACTATACTGAGGGTTGTGTTGTACACAAACAGTCCACATTACCTGTAGCAGAACGCCCACAGGTGAACCAGTTCTAGGTTGTCTGAGGAAGCCCAGGGACTAACATGAATGATGACAGTCACAGCTGCACTGCTTCTCTTGCTGTCCTCTTTCTTTGCTTTTCTATGGTAATTTAAAACAAAACAGATGGGAGGAAGAAGTACTTGAAGGAAGTTGGAGAGACACAGCCTATCTGTGGACTCTCATCACCCCTACTTCCCGTATTTAGAGGGTGTGTATTTAAAAGCAGAATAAATGACAATCAAACCAAAACATCACTTATCAATGCTTATTTAATTGTGTGGACAGCCGTTAGGGCCGCAGTCAGTAACCTGGTCTGAGGTAGTTCGTGAGTGTAGCGTGTGTGTGCAAATCGAAATCCCAGCCACTGAGAAGGAACACTGATATAAACCAAATGCATTCCTGTGCCCTGTAGTACCTGAGATTGGAATTTGATAGCCCACCCCTGAAAAGAAGAGGAAGGGTCAAGGTTGCCGGCTACATGTGAATCAGCAAAGGGATGACATTTATAGTTTTAAAGGCGCTTAGAGAAATAGTCATGAATTTTACATTTTAATTAAATAAGCTGTGATTTTTTTTTTTTTTTCTGGTACTGAAAGAACACAGGCCCAACTCCTGGCACAGATGTTACCCTGTGCTGACACATTCATTATGTTTTAAGCTTAAAATATCCTGAAGGAAAAAGACTCCAATTAAAAGCTTTAAAAGAAAAGTCACATTACAGCCACTTTGATGTTCCTGTCGCTCATTCTTCTGGTATTTGTGAGTCCTCGGTTCACTCAGATCCAAAATGATTCACCACCAACTTCCCAGACTTGGTGCTCAGAATAAGTCTTAAATACTTTCCATCAGATTTCCTTGGCACTGTAAAGAATGCTGTGGACAGTGTCTTTACTTGTAAAACACTTCATCCTAGGTTCTCCTCCCTCTCGGTTGTCTTAGCCTTAAGTGTCCAAGTAAATGAATCACTTTGGTTGTGCCACATTCCATTGTCCTCAATCCAATATAGACAGAGTTTTGGGCCATTGTCTACAGAGCCAAAGAGGATGGAAACTGAAGTAAGTTTCTGAATAACTTGTGGAAAACTCTTTAGTACAGAAAAGTTTAATTACCCGAATTGCTTATCAAAATATGCTGGAGGATCTGAAGTCAATGAACATCTTATTGCATGGTTGCCTATTATGGGGATAAGACTGGCAAGAAGGACGGGGGCAGCCTGACTTAACGTCTGTTTAGGGCAATGTCCATATTACAGAGGTGATGGGGGTGGGGTCGTTAGGCGCTTTCCATCTTTAAACACATTGGAGATTGAGTCCATCTAAGCAGTCCTTTGGGAATCACGTCGGATCTGTGTGCAGTGACGTCTGCTTCATCAGATTTCATATGCATACAGAAGTTCTCGGCTGACAGCAGACTCTGAGCTGATGCTAGCTCTTTTTGACCGGCAGCTCATGCTAGCTCAAGTGATATCTGGGAGAAGGAATGAGTCCCAAACAGGGCAGGAAGATGATAATTTAAAAAAATTTTTTTCACCATGCCCCCACCCTTTTTCTGGTAAGTGTCGGGAAGGCATCTGAAGTCTACCAGGGAAGATTAAATGAGTCAAAGGGTTTAGTGTGGGTTTGCAAGTCTAAACGGTGTCCTGTTTCACCAAATGTGCACGTGCTCCAGCCTTGTTCCTAGGTAGGACTTCGTCCCTGTGGTTTTCTCTGTGGACTGTCTAGAATAATTGGTGCATGTAAATGCCCACGCTGGGGCTGTCCTTTTCCCAGGCTTTCCTCACCACCACCACTGCTGGGCTGTGAGGAGCCCTGTACCTCACCCCAGAGTGACAATAGCATTCAGATGACTGTGCTTCTATCCCTCTGCATTCGGAGTCATCCAGTCTGAATGGCTGATGAAGTAGCCTTCTGATGGCTGAAAGAGGGTGTTATTTTTCACCCTGTAATGAAAGGCTTGGGAGACCCTACTTTTTTATTTTAACTATACTTTAACCAAAGAATTATTTTAACGTAGCCGTATATTTGAAAGATGATTTTACAAAATATAAATGAATAAATAAAGAAAAATATGAAGCATGTCTTCTGGAGCCATATGGCTTTTAGTAAGTACCGCTGTTGATCATTTTCTTGCCACTTTTGTTTGGAATAAACATAGATGGTCTTCCTGCCCTGTATGTGTCTCCTCCACTCTGCAAGTTGTATCCCTGTGAAAATGAAGTCCCTTATTTCAGTTATCTGATGCCATGGGGCACTCACGGAAGGGCAGCAGGAAGAGAAGGTCCTGTCTCGCTGCCTTTGTAGAAAGCCTTGTTTCTGTGCTCCAAGAACAGCATTCCTCCGTAACCTAGGCACTTGGTTTAATTTCAAAGCAGTGATGAATTGCTCTTTTGAATCTACTCTCTGTATATTCATGTGTTAGAATACAGATGAGCCTCCCTCTAAGCTTCACAGGCATCGGCAGTGTCAACTGTACCAAATCTGCACAAAGTTGGATAATGAGGCTCCTGGAGATTTGCATTTAAATTGTTATCTGGCACATGCAAGTGAGGAGAAAAAAAGAGGGGTCTAGTCTCGTGAGCCTGTGCTGCCTCAGGGATAAGACTGGCAAGAAGGACAGGGGGCAGCCTGACTTAATGTCTGTTTAGGGCAATGTCCATGTTACGGAGGTGATGGGGGTGGGGTTGTTAGGCGCTTTCCATCTTTAAACACATGACTAAAATTGGATTTGCTTTACCATTGATTTCTGGGAAGGTGGCCGTAGGCATTGCCTTTCAACACAAAGGAAAGAGCTGCTCTGTCACATACAGTATTTCTGTGTGTAGCTTGAAGACGTAGAGTCATTAGTAGTCAAACACTATATGGTCAGCCCCCACAAATATTTGCCCGGTAGTCCTTAGCCGCTATTACTTGCACAGAAAAAAGTGCAGCTGTTCAACTGTTTGTGTACAGGATCTGTGTGCAAAATGAAAACAATGTACACTGGTTCTTCGGTTGCCGCTAAGATGGGAACAGCATCCCAGAGCCTTTGAGCTTTGCATATACCACTCTGAGCATGTCAGTTTCTTTCTCACATATGAGACTTTTGTGTCATGCTTTTTTTTTCCTATCTGATTTGAGTGTATTTATTTGGGGGGGGGGGGAGCTTGTAATTATAAAAATAGAAAACTGCACCTAGCCATACTGCCAAATTCCTTGTAAGCTTTGCTGGCTGAGAAGCTGATCTTCTGGACAAAGCTAGGACCATATCCACTGAAATGGTTCTTAGATGACTTAATAAAAAGAAACTGTGTCCTCAGCCGACCTAGAGCAGATTAAGTCCTGAGTGTGGTGTCTTCCGTCCCGTCTTCCCATGGTACTGGGGTCACTGTGACTGTGTAGGTGTCCATAAAGAGTATGACTCTTCAACAGTGGGAGAGAGATGCTAGCTGTTGATGGAAAGGGGAGGAAGCTCCTGCAGCTCTGTGGGTCTCAAGTCCTTTCTGGAGAAGCATTCAGAAAAAGAAGTGAGAACGCAGTAGACAGTGAAAGAGTGGAAGCCTCTGGTTCATCCTAGGCAAATCATACCTCTCCATCAACTGATCCAAGGCTCCTGTGACAGACACAAATTAACAAGAGAAAAATAGAAATGTTTAACTTTTTGTACAGCATGGGAAGACTTCATAAAGACATGAAGACCCAAAACTCAGAACACAATGAAGCCTAACCATAACTGATTACTTTTTTTTTTTTGAGACAGAGACTCACATAGCGCAGGATAGCCTTGAACTTGTCATACCATTGAAATGGTCTTTAAATTCCTGATATCCGGTCTCTACACTTTAAGGCTAGGATTACAGACACAAACCACCTCACGGGGATATAAAGCCAAAACATTTTAGTGCTAAATCTGGGAGCAAGTAGATGGTTATAGAGGAACATGATAGAGCAAAGAATGTGATCTGATTGTAATGAGTGGCTGGCAGCTCTGCCACCTGGTTGGCTTCTCAGTGTCCCTCTATCATCAGAGACAATAAAACCCCCTTTCCCCAGCTGTCAGCATATGATCTTCCGTAGGAGGGTTCTAGGACCTGTTTGGGGGCAGCAAGGCTTAGAATATCATTCCCAGGTTTTATGACCTGCTTTGGGAGAGAGAACAGTGCAGGTGTTAGGAGTGACCTTCTGGCTATCATTTTCAAAATCCATCTTACAATATACCAAAGTGACATATTTGAGAGGGGACAGTTATGAACCCCATTGGCATCATCATTCCCCATCAATGACCACTTTAAGAGGGGCTGGTGTACCAGACATCATCTACTGAGCAAGAATATGAAAGATGGGAGTGGGGTGGGGTCATAGATCTAGCTCAAGCTACATTCTACACTCATAGTTAGGCTAATAGATTTTAAAATAAGCCTTGAAAGCAAATTTGTGCCTGGGACATGAATACAGATTTTCATCAACACAGCCATCCACAACCGTGGCAGAGTCCACTTCCTGAGAAAACAGCAGCCAAGGTTGGAGTCTGCACAAAAGACCAGGTTATGTTTAGCCTTCTGGCTGCTTCTCAGTTGTTCTCTGCTTGAAAGATTCCTAAACTCATTTTGCCCTTTTGTGGTGTGTGCAAAAGCTGGCTGCACATCCAGAAAAAAAAAAAAAAAAAAAAAAAAAATCAGCCGGCGTGCTTTGCTTAAGCTGACATCAGCAAAATGCTCGGCTTCTCTTGCCTGTGTGGATTTGGTTCATTGTTTCTGTTCTTGTGTCAGGACCCTTCCTGCACCAAAAACATCTTCCTCTCAAAGAAACAAAATGTTGCGTTTTCCAGAAGCACACACATGGACCTGGGATGGCCAGGAAGAGATGTCCTGGCTTATTTAGTTTTTGTTTGTCCTTGTGTTCTTGGGGCAGTCCAGAAGGTCTACATCGATGGGGAAGGCCAGGCAGTACTAAGGATGTTTCCAGGACCATAGTTGGGTCTGACACCGGCTCAGGCTGGTTGTTGCAAGCCTTCAACTCACCCCCCCCCCATAAATGAGCACAGTAATGACTCTTCTTCTCTCCCTCCCTCCCTCCTGTCCCTTTATTATTTTTTTCCTTCCTTCTTTCTCTGTCAGCATGCTTTTAAGATTCAAGGGGGATGAGGCTGGAGAGATAGCTCAGAAGTTAAGAGCACTGGCTCCTCTTCCAAAGGTCCTGAGTTTAATTCCCAGCAACCACATGGTGGCTCACAACCATCTGTAGTGAGATTTGGTGCCCTCTTTTGGCATCTAAGCAATACATGCGGAAAGAATATTGTGTAAATAATAAATATAAGTATCTGCTCTCTCTCCTCCTCACTGTTGGGTCCATGCCTGGCTGTGCTTTCTGGGGATCAAACTCCGGTCCTCAAGCTTGTGGCATCAACCACTTTACCAATGGAACCATCTCAACACCTCGGCACCCTCAGTCTTCTTGAGAACCCTACTCATCTGATGTAAGAGAGAGGAAACCAAGTCTTAGAGATAGTTAATAGCTAATCCGCAGTCACACGACACAATCGCATGAGGAAGAGGCCCTAAAGCTGAGACTCAATAACCATGTCAGTGGGTCCCTGGAGCTTAAATATTTTTTTTTTTTTGTCCTGTATGTACCCCACACTGATGTAGAACTCCATGTGTAGCCCAGGCTGGCCTCAAGCTCTGATACTCCTGCCTCTGCTTCCTGAGTGCATGAATTAGACATGATCCACTATATCCATCTAAACCTGTTCAAAAAACTTCATGAAAATACTGCAGAAGCCCAAGACACCCGTGGGATGCTTGGGTTTTTCAGAACAAAGAAATTCATGACTTACCTCCAGTCTCCTTGTTTACAGATGAAGACATGGGCAGCCACCTATCTGTGAGCTAGGACCTGAAAAGGGGCCTTGGTTACTCTGCAATCATTCATCTAAGCTACAATCTACCCCCTTTCCTCCTCTTCCTCTCCTTCCTTTTTCTTTCTTTCTTGTTTTGTTTTGTTTGTTTGTGTCCTAAGGTACTAGGGTTTGTCAAGGCGGAACAATTTCCTTCTGAAATCAACTTTTCTTTGGGCTGTTTCAAGAATCACACATTGGAATAAATTAAACCTCCCACCTCCATGAAAGCTTAGGGCAGAATTTCCAAAAAGCAGAAACCTCGTTGTCAGTTCCGTTCTAGTTTCATCTCCAGCGTCGTGACAAACACCACAACCAAGGCAAGAGAAAGAAAGGATTTATTTGGCTTATAATTCCGGGTCATAGTCCACACAGAGTGAAGTCAGGATAGAAACCTGAAGCAGAAAACATAGAGGAGCACATCATTCTTGCTTGCTCCGGGCTCGTGGTTAGCTAGCTAGCTTCCTTACACATGCCCGGACGGCATGCACAGGGAATGGTGCTGTCCGAGGTGGGCCGGGCCCTCCTCCAACTATTAGCAAACAGGAATTCCTCACAGTTGGCCCGCAGACCAGTCTGATTTAGGCAATCTCTCCGTGGAGACTCCCTTCCCAGATGACTCTAGGCTGTGTCAAGTTGACAGCTGCAGGTAGCTTTGAGGCAGTGCTCTTTTCCAAGCCGACCCATCCCGCCCTGGTTGCTGTCATGCAGCCCCAGCCACGTAGGTCTGAAGACCTCCATACCACAAGCTGCTCAGGGTACTGTTTAATCCAGATCTCCCAGTCCCTGTGGGCCAGGATTATTCTTGCCATTTTACAGATGGGAAAATGGATTCTAAAGTAATAAACATATATGCTAATGTGTCAGTAAACAATATACATATATGCTAATGTGATGTGGACAAAGTCCAGGTGGCGAAGCAAACTGCAACCATCTCATGTCTACTGTCATCCATGATCTTTGCTGCTCCTGAGAAACATTTTCTGCATCCATAAGTGATTTCAAAGGCTCCTGGTCCAGCTTAGAAACCCCACAGAAAGTTTCACAGCAATGCTTGAAGAACCCTTCCCCCAGTGTGAATTAGCAGCAGCAGCTGCTGGGAACAGACCAGCCCACAGCTGTGTGTGGTCAGTAAAGGCCAGGGTTCTTCAAAAGAGCATGAAAGGTCAAAAAGGAAGTATAGGCCCTCCTAGAGCTGCTACAAAAATCCCAGTAGTGTTGGCTCATGGGGAAATCCTGTGTTTGTTTGGACCCTTAAAATGTCCATCTGTGGCCTATTTAATAGTTCTCTTCCTCCGAGCTCTTCACCCCCAACAACAGGGTAATGACAGACAATGGAGAGGTTGCTTGTTTGTCTGTCTACAACCTGGCCCACCCAATGTTAATCCCTGGGATTAATGAAACAAAACACAAAGACCTCATGAGATGGAAACCACAGGGACAAATTGATGGACACCCTCTTCATGACTATTTTTGTGGTTCTTGTGGAGAACTGGGGCCTTCCCAGAATGTCTCCCATCCAAACATGCCTCTTTGGTATAAAGGATGATTTTGATCTGCAGGCTCCTAAGAAGAAGCAGATGAAAACAATCACTAAGCGAACAAGTAGTTTCTACCCTCACCCTTATTTGCTAAAAAGCAGAGCACCCATGTATGAAGGTGCCCCTGTCCTCTGAGGACACCATTACTGGACACAGCTTTAGGCTCTTCCCAACCTCCAGAAGGTCCCAGAGGAACTTAATAAGAAACTTTACTAACCAGCCCTTCTTAGCTGTTCATTCTCACACACCTGGCTTTATTGCTGCGGGTTGAGACTCAGCATCCTTTTGTACTGTGTTGCAACTTGTGTAACCCTCCCTTGTTTTGTGCTGAAAACACTATCTTAGAGTCCCAAGCCTCCCCTTTGAGACTTGCTCACTTGCAGGTCTCTCCCGTGTCTCATGTATGAAACACACACAAAGACAAACTGTATATTTTTTTTTCTTCTTACTCTATTTTCTTGTTATTTGGCTTCAACTAAGAACATAGGAAAGTATCAGGGGGAAACTATCTCTCACTTATGAGGCCTCTCACCAGCAAAGTGGTCAGCGCACACACTTTCATTAGCACATAGTTGAAAGGTACTCTGTGACCACTGTGACTCATTGAATGGCCAGAGTCTATAATTCTTCCCCTTGGGGCACTTGTGGGCTACAGGCTGAAGTGGAGTTTATGAGTGGTTAGGAAGGACTTTGGCAGATCAAAAGGACCCGTCATACACCAGCCTGATTTGAAGTTATTCCCTTCAGGGACCGTTCTTAATCTCTGAGACCAATGGACCCTGTGACATTAAAAAAAAATTATTGCTGTTTAAAGATTCTTTTTAATTTTAAATTATGTGTATACATGTGCTCTGTGTGTGTGTCTGTCTGTGTGTGTGTGTGTCCATGGAATCCAGAAGAGG